CAGTTGCTAAATGAGGATTACTTCAGGGTAACCTTTTACTCCAGGGTAGTTTCTTAATCTTAGCAACAATAAGATGTGTAGACCTCAATTCCCAAAATTCCCCAGCCAAAACACAAGATGGTTTAATGATTCTTAATTTGGGCTAATCACAGATGTACCATATATGGGAAATGCGTATGCTTACATTTATAGACTCTGAAGTGAATTCCAAGATCCACTGTTCCACGTTAAAAAACAAAATCAATTTGGTTGAAAGGATATCATTCAAGGGCTAAAATTGCATGAAAGAAAGCTGAGTTTCCAGTATTTCAAGGATAGAGGTTTAATAAAGTCTGCAATGCATTCTACATCCCATTTGAATCTTCTGGGTTTTGCCTGGAAATGTTGGTTTTGGGAGCTTATTATTGGAAATTTCTATACTCTTCAGCCAAGTGTCAACGATGGGAAATCTATGTAGTCGTTAGGCAGTAATTGTTCCATATTACCAGGCTTGAAACCCTGCATTCCTATTGGTCCACAAAGACAGCTACCTGATTGGACAGTCAGGACGGCTGTGATTGGTTCGCTAGGAGTCTACTGCGATTGGATGAAACCAATTGCAGGAAACTCAAAGCATTGTCATTGGCCGCCTAGCCGCGGCCAGCTCTATAAAAAGAGCCGCCGCGAGCGCTGTTTTTTACTCGGGACTAGCCTGTAAAATAAAGAGCTGTTGTTCACTTAACCTGAGTCTCTCGTCTCTATGAGCCTGACCTGCAGAACCTAACAGTAATAGTTAATGTTTTGCTCTGCTTTTCTAAACAAAATAGAAACCAACACTGAACTTGCAGTCTTAATTTTAGCTTATTTCATCAAGTTTAATAAAGAATATCTTAATTGTTAATTTGTGATAAGAACTAAATGTTTTTAGAAGTGCTACTTCTCCAGCTTGATTACTCATAGTAGCTTCCCATCAAAAAGCTTTCTACACCTCAAAGAAAATATTGCTGTATGTCACTGTTTCACAGTAGTAGAAGAATGGTAGAAATTATATATGAAAAATAAACTATTCAAGGGTAAGTAACAATTATCAAATGCATTTAAAAAAATTACAGACACCAATTATTGGGTGTTACGGTTCAAGGTTTTCTTTGCATCTCAAAATCATTTTTTAAGAATATTCTATAAACTAAACCTTTTAGGGGTCTTTTTCCTTCCCCTGAAGTGTTTAAAATTCAAGTAGACAGTAGCAATTTTCTTTTAATCTAAGCAAACTGATGTGTCAAAGGCAATCAGAATACCAAAGCTATCTCCAGAGAATCCTAATAATGTTGATGAATAGCTGTGCTCTCTGGAAAACTCATCCACTGAACTCTTGACATCGAATGTCACAAATACTTACAGTTGTGATAGGTAGAGCAGCCCAGGTCTCATACCCATAATCTGAAAGACTCACTATATATTTAAAAATAAATAGAGAGATTTGCAAGAGTTCTGCACCAATCCAACATCATCTTGTTTGGGGAATTCTTGCCATTATGTTTTGTGAAATGAAGATGCAGAAATGTTAATTTTTCCATGCCTTATTATGGGAAACATCTTTTTCTGCACTGCACAGGTAGCAGTAAAAAAAAAACAAACCCTGGGCTATGTGGAAAGAACACACATTTTAGAACAAACATCTATTATCCGGAGAGCTAAATCACAATAACCAGAGAAAGAAACCTAGTGTTATTAGGTTAATTTCATGCAGCCAAGATGTCAGGTCCTATCCTCAAAACATGCACATGGTACATCATGGTTTCTCTTGAGCCAAAAAGCTTATATGAGGAGGCCCTATTAACACATTTCTAGTGCTCAAAATTATATGTAATTTAATTCAAAGTGATTTGTACATATTCCCCAACCATGCAAATTAACTAATTACTGAAATGTATTTATAATTATGTAACATTATTTAATACATGATTTTTCTTTATGCATGTTTTACTACTGGTTCCCTAATCAGTTTAAAATTTTCTTACATTGAATTCTTATTCAGCCTTTTGCTACTTGTTTTGCATTCTTTCAGTTCTTTAAACTGTATTTTTTCTTCTATTTTGGGATGTTTTACTCACCGGGTGTTCCAAAGAGGGTTTTCCAAAAGGCAAAAAGACTTTCTTGGGGTTTTTTTTTCTTGAAAATGTTTTGCTTCTCATCCAAGAAACTTCTTCAATTCAGTTCAGAACTTTTTCAAGGAAAAAATATCAAGAAAGTCCAGCTGGCAAAGCACCTTTGGGACAACCCTATCCTGGATGATTGAGAATCTCCATAGATATTTACTCATCAGATATTTTTCAAACTTCTTGTTTCAAAGATTTAACTGTAAAATAATTGTAAATCCAAAGGTGATTAGAAAATGAAGTTGAATGAGCTAGTGTTCTTAAAGGCTTCCCTGTGGTCTTGGTGGCTTCCCTTATCTCCTGGTGCTCAGACCAGTGGGATGAACCCTTTTCTGCTATTTCTCATGAAGAGCAACCATCCAGAGCACAAGTGGGCAATATTTCATCCTCTCCTTTATCCAGAAAGGTTCCACTGGACCAAAATTGCTACCAATCCATTGCATATTGGCCCGGCAGCATCTCTGCACTTTTCAGAGACATCTGGTTCATCATTTTCCTCATACATAAATCTTCAAAATTTACAATTCTCATTATCTATGTTGAGCCAGAGGAGCAGTCAATACTTACTTCAATTACTCACCACAGTTCTAATAAGACCCTTTCAATATAGATAGCTTCTATCATTGCAGATTAGTATCATAGATTAGAGAAGGTAAAATCATTTACAATTAAGAATATAGCAAGATATCCTAGTTTAGAAGAGAGCAATTTGTGAACCCCAGGTCACATCACTTTGATTAAAGTTGGTGCAATTTACTCCAGATGTTGATAAATTATTGAGAAAAAAAGACCTATTTGATCTTTAAACCTCTTCCATTTTCCCTTGGGCCATCCACTCTTGAGGAATGTCATTAAAACAATAGGGTATGTCCTTTAGACTTCTCTTGGACCAAATCTAAGTTTCAATCTGTCTATGTGTCTGTCTGTTTGTGGGTGTGAAGGGGGGAGGGAGAGATGCCCTTGTAAAATGGTGTGTGTGTGTGTGTGTGTGTGTGTGTGTGTGTGTAATGTGTGTGTGTGTGTGTGTGTGTGTATAGTATTCACCTTTGTTCGGGTATTTTCCCACGTCATTATAGTTGTGCTTTTAAAGTTGTAGCAATGTTTCGGCAGAATCTCATCTGCCATCGTCAGGCTGCGTGTATAGAATATATATATATATGTTCTATACACACACACACACACACACACACACACACACGTATATACACACAGTATAATTTCAGCAGGAAGCTGGTAGGTTAAAAAACAAAAGGTGACTTGCCCAACTATCTAAGCAGGGTTTGGCCTTTAAATGCCAAGCATAAGAAAATATTCATTTCACAAAGGATAAAATGGTGACACTCAAGCACCTATCCCTCCCTCCAAAATGAGGAAAGATGTGTCAAAAAGTAAGCTAACTAACCTACACACCCACACACAATAGCCCAGATTCCTTTATATTATAACTGTTTACCACTACCTACCAGTACTAGTTACAATCGAACTACACTGATTTCAAAATCAAAGGGCACATCCAAAATAAATGGCTAAATTATATCCACCTCAATAATTTCACAATTTTTAATTTTCTAGGAATGCATCTGGGAACTGCACAGAGGCTCTGGATGACAGAATTTCATTTTGCAACATGCCACGATCATAATCAATCAATCTAGATATGAAAATTAAGAGGAGCAAGTGGTGTGGCAGTCATTAAATGTCAATTAACATAATGCAATTCAGGGCTTCACTGCTAAATCCCAATTATTTAGATAGATGTAAGAAGGTATTTTCAGTTGTGGCCCCAATTTTATGAAATGATCTTCTCCTGAGGGCTAAAATGGTTTCTAACCTGTAAGAATTCCAAAATACACCAGAGCAACGATGTTTCAATAGGGATCCAGGGGCGGGCTTCAAAAATTTTAGCAAAGGGTTCTCTAACCGGTTGTTGGGTGAGCATGGCCATGGTGGGCGTGGCTTAGTAGGCTTCCTGCACCATGGTGGGGGAGCGTTTTTGCCCTCCCCGGGCTCCGGAGGCCTTCCTCAAGCCTCCAGGAGGGCAAAAATGACCTTCCTAGGCTCTGGAGCCTCTCTGGAAGCCAGAAACAGGCCCATTTCTGGCCTTCCCAAACTTCTGGGAGGCCTGTTTTTCACCCTCCCCGAGCACCCGTGCGCGCCCTGCACTTATCTGCATCCAAAACGGGCCTTGTGGGGACTTCTTGGAGGCAAGGGGTGGGTGGGGGCAGCCAGGAGTGGGATTTGGGTGTTCTCTGAACTGCACAGAATCTTAGCTAGGGGCTCTCCAGAACCCCAGCAAACCCCCAGAACCCCACCCTTGGATTTGCCATTATGTTATTTGAACAGGGGCTTTCATTATTTATTTATCATTATCTATTTTTATTACGCATATATGTTTTAGTGTATTTCTTTGTAGAAAGTTGTACCCACTCATTGTCCATTTAAGATGAGCTATAAATATTCTAAAATTGAATGAATAAATAAAACAGGGAAAATGTTATCGAACTTGTTCTACCCTATAACCCATTCATTTCAGTCTTCTTAGTTAATGAAGTAAATGTTTATAATGTACTATTAGAACAAGCACAAAAACACTGATAAACACTCATATTTAAAAACACTACTGACGAATGGTAATTTACAAATAAAATATTTCACTTTAATGAATATTTTTCTCAATGTTCAGGCACTAGAAAATGATTCCTTCCCCAATAAAGGGAAATATTCCTTTAAAATAAATATGCATGTTTTCAAAGGTCATGAAATTGTAAATAGTTCAGTTGTGGCTTTGTTGTACCTTTGAAATGTACAATACAGATTTTTTTTTTTAATTTCCAGAAATTTATTTACTTTTTTGCCAATAAACCTTTTAAATGTTTAGATATTAAATAACTAGAAAATTTTTTTTAAAAAAGTATTTAAACTGAGCAGGAAAAATAAATCACATTTGCTATTTTGCTCTCTAATTTTGTTCAATGTCCCCTGAAGAAAAATAAATAAATAAATGTCACTTTTTTGCGTGCAAGAAAATACATGGCCCGAAGTATACAATATTTCTAACATGCTCAGTATTTATGTCATCTTACAGCAATGAACAAGCCCTTGGAAGTTGAAGACAGCAATTCTCAGATCTCACACTAATCCTGGAGCAGAATAACATCTCTCTGTCTACATATATAACATGGTCAGCTAGTGTTACAGTGCTCAACCCTTACTAATGGCAAAGGCAAATACATATCACATCTGTTACAACTAGAACAGCTTCAGGGTGTTCCAATATAAAAACACAGATTAGAGGAATGAACTGGGATATATGCCGTGCTTAATGGAGAAATACCATTTAAAAACTGAGTCTCAGAACAATGTGTAAAAATGCTTAACGGCATACAGGAAGGGGGCACCCTGTATCTTTTGCAACTTGTAAAAAACCGATGCTATCTATGGACTGCAAACCAAGACTTCTTCCTAAGTGCCACCATCTCCCTCCTGTTGACAGGTTGCTAAATTATTTTTGCCACGAGGAATTGCGCATCAGCAATCAGAGTCGTTGTCCCGCTTCATTATGCCATTGTATACCCATAGCTTCCACAATGCAAAGCCACAAGAAGTCTGTCCTTAAGGATTTCTTTCTTGGGATATTCAGGCAACTTCAGCATATTGATACTGAAACAGAAAAAGAAGAAGAATTCCCCATTAAACCATGCCATTTGAAAGTAGAAATTTGTTTTGCATGAGGTAATTAATGTGACACTACACTTTCAAATCAGCATCCAAATTCCTACTCGCCTGAAATAAAGTAAAAAAGAACGAATGCACTGCATTGCAGTCCCCTTTAGCATTCCAATGTTATCTAGCCAAACCCAAAAAAAAAAAAAATTCTTTTACGAAATGAAAAAGCAACAGAGCAATTTTAAATGAAGGATCTTTTAATGATTCTGTACTACTGCCCATTAATAATCTATTGCAAGAGGTACATTTTTTTCTCAACAAAATGGAAGATATAATTTAAATACCTCTAGTTTTTTTTAAAGAATCTATTCTACATGAAAATGACCAGAAGCAACTATTTTCTTAAGTTATGTAAGACGGTACCTAGGCAAATAAATTCTTGTCTGGGACCCCAAAGAAAACGAATTTAAGGAAAACATTCAGTCCTTAATGTATTTCAATAACCTACCATGTACTTGATGTGGGTAGCAGATTTGGTGTATATGGCACAGCAGCAATCGTGAAATTTTGCAATCCACTCCCACCCATTATATGGGCAAAGCCACCATGGGGTACTCTAGAACTGAAAAACATTGATAACAAGTTTAAGAAAAACTGCAAGCATCCTTAATACATGAACACTGCAATGACTTTTTAGACAAGATCTAGAACTGATAACAAGCTGAACTGAATTTTTTTAAAAATGCAACACTGTGCCAGTTTCCCTCAAAGCTTTCACTGGAAGACCCACAGAATAGAGTGTTAGATACTTTCATCAGCTGTTCAGAGGGAAGAAGGGGAAAATATACAAGATTATTACTTCTATTAGTATCTCTATGCTCTTTATTACTGTACATTTAGGTCAAATACACGTTTTTTTCCACTATAGCAATGACATTTTCAGTTCTAAATCATCTAAACAGTACATCAACATTTTTATGCAGCTGATATTTTCATTTTGGCAATGAAACTATTGAAGTATGTGAATGTGAAGCTAACCACTGCAAACCAACCCTAAAAATGCACTAGTATGCTGCAAGGTGAAATAGTAACTAAAAGCTATACAATATACAAATTCTTTATAAATAACAGAAATAAATTGTTAAGATTTCTATATTTCTGATATAGAGAGTAACTGCTAAAAGTTCCAACAACTTTTAAGTAATTATAGAACAAAAGTAATGGCTTTGGGATAAAAATAAAGTTGCCTTCCTTTGTGAAATAGTGTCCTTTGTAGAGCAGTATTTCAACACATGACACTCTAAATAACAATATTAGACACTGCTTTTGCTTCAGAAATGTTTTATCTTAATTGGGCCAGAAATACCACAGCAAAGAAAAATCCTTCATTAAGTATTTTATAAGCTTCTATTAAAAAGGCTTAAAAGTAACAGTCATGTTCATATTTCTTCAGAACCCAGATAAAACCCAGGTTTTAATTGTGAGCCAACCTAAATTTCTGTAGAAGTCCAGCCTTCTTCCACCAGAGGCATACCTAGATTTCAGAATCAATTTTTAGTGAAGCATGAAGAATGAGAGAAAGGAGCCGTAAAAATTGGATTTCCCATCTTGTATAGCCATTGATAGAAACAACTCAACATTCTATGCTACTTTTCCAAAAGTCAGGCAATCATTTTCCCATTTCACATCACAAGAATTACAGCATAAAAAGCTCATTGATTTTCTAAAAGCTTTTGTTATCTCATCTATTCTGCTTTTAACTTTTCAGTTTTGTCAGAAGAAAGCAACGGCTTCATTATAATTATAGTGCAAATATACTTTGTAAAGAATACCGGGGCAAAAAAATAATCCCACTCAATAGTCTCAGCCTATGGTAAGTACATTGCAAGGTAATTTTAATCTGAAGAAGAAGAGAACACTTCAATGGATTAATCCACACTGCATTAAATCTGGGCTAGCACCAGCATCCAACCTATTTTCCCTTGAAAGAAGGGAGAATTTTGCATGTCTATCATTTGTCAGAGCCCAACACAGGGCTATTTGGCTTGAGATTCGCTTCCATACTGGCTCAAACTAACCTGGCCCATTATGAGCAAACTCCACCCCCAGAAATAAGAGGTTCCTGATCACCTCTACTCAACAGGTCAGCAGAATTGCCTTCTGTATACTGAATATCCTAGTCATTTTGTAAACTCTATGTCAAGATTGAATTCGCTTATGCTTCCTGTGAATATTATCCGCTTTTCAACTTGCCAAAGAGTTGGGGGGAGGGAAGGAGAAGATGGAATGCGGAAGCTGCAGACCTCAACCATGAGAGCCCAGGTCCCACCAAGGACACTTCTGCAGTTATCAGCCAAGACGTGAACTGTTCCCAAAACAAAAGAACGATTCATCACTGGACAGTGTGACCTGTCCAGTGGGAGGAGGGCAGAACTCTATTCTTCAACTGTGCAATATTGCAAGGGAAAAGATAGAGCTGGTTTTGCTATCTTCAGTGCCGAAATGATGTAGTCAATAAAGTTTTGCTTTTGGGATTTCAAAGTTCCTGAGAGTGTCTATGTTTCTTGGGTTCATTAGTCAGACCGATGACACTCTATGGAAAACAGGCCACAACACTGGCCCAGATCTCCGATGCCAACTAAGCTCCATCAGAAGGAGAAATTCTAATGCTCAATATGGTCTCTTCAAAAAAGTTTACTGAGCACTGCTTTCAGCTGCTGCCTGCTGACAAAAATTCCTGCCTGCTGGCAAAAATAAATAAGGACATTTATTTTCTGCTGGGAGACATTCTTAAAGACTTGACGAGCCTATTATTATTTTCTTGACCCCCTTGTTAGCATGTAAAAGCAGCAATTTGGAAGAAAGTTCAGTCAGCAAGCCTCTGTCCACACTGCCTTGTTCTCATGGTTCTGTGTTTCTGGTGGGATCTGATGATCTGTACAATACAATGGTTGAAAAAAAAACAACCTTGAATTATAGGATCATATGATGATTCTATAATTATGTAATCATGCTTGCAACCTTTTATATTTCCTGAGGATATTCCTATTTCAAGCATCAGTCGCTTTCTCCAAGAATTGTAAAGTGCTCTAATTCATTAAGAATATATTTATTCAAACTTTTAAAGCTGTAACATCTTCAGAAATTCCATTCAAGAGCAAAATAAAATCAAATAATACACAATTCTTTAAAGAAAGATAGCAGCAATTAAATACAACTAGTTCTTGACTACAACCATTCATTTAACAATCATTTTGAGTTACAATGGCACTGAAAAAGAGTGACTGAGGACCAGTCCCAAAGTTACAACTATCACAGCAGCCCAATAGTCACATGATCCAAATTCGGGCCCTTGGCAACTGGCATATACTTGGCCCTGGGGCTCCAATGGGGGAGTGTCATGCAGATGATAGTAGATAGATTATCAACAGATCCCACCCCACTTTCCTGTTCATCCTACTCCCCATCTTTTAGTTATAGCTGATAATATTCATTTTTTGTATAGTCTTATTCTTTTTAACCTTGTAAGCTGCTCAGAGTCAATTTGTGGTGAGACTGCTGGCAAACAAATTTAACAAATAAATAAATATATATATTTACAAGGATTGTAGCATCCTGGGGCCATATGATCAACATTTGCAACTCCCCAAGCTGGCTTTCGACAAGCAAAGTCAATGGGGGAAGTCAAATTCACTTAATGACCATATACTTCACTCAGCAACGTCATGATTCACTTAACTGTTCCAAAAAGGGTCACAAACTTGGGCAACTATCTCACTTAGCAACAGAAATTCTGTTCTTAATTGCAGTCGTAAGTCAAGGATTGCCTTTAATAAAAGCTAATAATACTTTTTTTCCCTTTAAAGTATTAACAAGTCAGATCTGTCTATATAACAACACAAAAACAGTATGTTTCACCAAGACTAAAGCTTTCTATTTTGTGCCAAGCATCTGCTACACTTTCGGTCCATCTGCTAAACAACCCAACTCAGTATTCTGTAATGGCTATGTAAATGCTAAAATATTACACACTGGCAAAATTAAATTATCAGGTGATGTCCCTTCTGGTACATTGCTATTTAAGAGTCTTATATAACTTTTCCCTCTAGAAGTTTGTATGCTTATCCTCCCTGTATAGTGGTGGGATTCAAATTTTTTTACTACCGGTTCTGTGGGTGTGGTTTGGTGGATGTTGCAGGGGAAGGATAATGCAAAATCTCCAGTCAGAGATGGTATTTACTGGTTCGCCGAACTATTCAAAATTTCCGCTACCGGTTCTCCAGAATTGGTCAGAACCCGCTGAATACCACCTCTGATAGATACATTATCTAATGTTTCATAAATGGGCTACAGGAAGCCAATGGCATGGGAAATGAAAGCATCAATCAGTGTCTCTGCACCCATATCACATAAATCTTTCCTCAGTCAACAATAAAGATTAACATTAACATTTCTCATTAAAAGCACAACTGTGAAGTTAGCAAACAAACTGCAAAATATGGGAATGAAAAAGCCAACGGGGTTTGCAAGAGAATGAAAACGAAGATGGCTATTATGCTGCATAGCTGTTACCTATAGGGCAGCTGCTCCATTTAAATTTCATTCAGGTCTTTCAGGGGTCAGAATACCCCATCATAATTCAATCAATTAAAAAAAATCCAGTTGGCCAAAACCGGTTCCAAAAATTTGAACTATATCACATCAAAACCCTTTTTCAAATCCGATAAAACAACTTTCATTTTTTAATGAAGGTATAATTAAAATATCAATTAGTAATTAATATTAGTCAAAAATGCTCCCGTTTTATAAAGCTAGATGGCATGGTGTGTGTAATTGAAAATAACAATATTGGAAGTCTACATATTTTTGCAGCCAAGTTTAACAGGGAAATCAAATGACAATAATCTTCAAAATCACAGTAATATACATAGGACTCTTTTAATTTGAAAAAAAAAATCCTTACTCAGAATAATAAAATGATAGTAATTCAAGAAAGCCTTCTTTATTTGTAGATCTAAATATAACAATATTTTATATAAGAATTAGCATGAATATATGGTTAAATAGCCATTGATTGTCTGTAGGATTATTTTCTACAAAAATGAATACAAGACATGTACTCACATAAAATAGGAAAATATATATGAAAATTATTTTTAAGCTGACATAGCTATAGGTATAGATGGGACAGATATAAATATATAAAGAAAAAACCCTACATTTTCTTTCTTTCTCTAAGATATGACTATGTTATTATGATAGGGATAATTTTCTTGGTTTTTTTAGCTTTATGATTGGGGATATACATTCACTTTAATTTCTCCATGGAATACAGTGATCAAATTTTTAAAAATCCACACAATTAAAAAGTTATTATGCGACCACTTTGACATTATAGCAGGGTGTTAGCATTCTTAATTATAGCTCTATTGGATTTTCTGAGCTAAAGATTGCCTGGAACCTCTGCAAGATGCTTTGACCATAGAATAATTTTGAGCTTTGGTATCAAGTTATTATTTCATTATAAAACAAGGAAACTGATCCAAATGAAAAAGTATTTATTTGTCATAGTATTAGATCTATCATCTTATTTAAAGAAGAAAAGAAACACAATTTGGTTAGATATCAAAAAAAAAAATCACAAACTGCTACTGATCAAAAATTCATAGGTAGTTGCAGGGTGAAAATGTTGTGTTCTTATCTGGGACGGAAAATTTTCTACAAACAAGTAAAACCAAAATATATTCACCTGCCAGTGACAAACTGCAATAGTAGCACCCTTTCTTCTTGAGTCAATTCTTCTACAATGTCCCAAAACCACTAGATAAAAAAATAAATCAATTTATTTTTGTTCAGTTTTCTTCAGCTAAAATTTAGTGACTAGATGCAATTTAAAGTTGAATGAGTTTCAAATTGTAACAAAAATCTTCAAAACAGAACTTAATATCTAGTTTGGCGATGTAACTCAATGGTGTTTATCCTATTCTTGAGGAGATGTTTTCTTACATATGACATAATTAATTCAATTACAATACAACTGTATATTACATGCTACATAATTATATAACCTTTATATAATTATATAGTGATCTTAATATAATTAAGAAAACATTCTTCAGGGGCATGAATGCAGCTTGGAGTGTTCCTAGACTTCTTCTATTATCACTGAAAGACCCAGCACTCTCAATTATTAGGAACTCTTCATTAGTTTAACTGCAATTCTTTTTGGGCAAACTGAACTGGCAACTTCTTACTATAATGCATGATAGTTTTGAACGTAGTTTGAAATTCATGTAATCATATATAGCCGTGATGGCGAACCTATGGCCCAAGTACAGGAAGTGGCATGCAGAGCCACTTCTGCCAGCACACGAGAGGTCGCCTGGCAGAGCCCCACTGCGCATGCCTGTGAACCGCCTGCCAAACAATTCATTATTGGGTATCTGGCACACATGTGTAGGGGGTGGGGGGGGGGGGGGAGGCACACCCCAGGGCCAGGGAGGGGGGGGGCCGGGGGGGGGTCACACATGCATGTACAGGGGGTATGGGGAAGCCAGCGCACATTGCCCTCTGGGTGCTGGCACGCAAGCGTGCACGCAATTTTCAGCAAGGAGGCTGAAATAGGTTAGCCACCAGATATATAGTTTTTAAGGTACTTATTTTAGTAATCAATACAAATATGGGATACCGTATTTTTGTAAAGCAGCACAGTTCTTGAATGTAATTCAGGCCAAATTCATTGTACTACATATGACTTTTGAAATTCTGAACTACTTGAAAAATGAAGGTATGTAAATGAAAGGGCTTTCTCTACTATAATGCTAAAATATTATTGGGGGGGCATTTTATTCTTAATATTTGATTTTAATTGCCCATATTACACTAAGAAGGTAGCAATGTAGATATATGCAAACATACACAGAGACATTTTTTATTTCATTTTTTTATTTTTTCATTGTGCTAATATGGGTTTCTTTCTATGTTTTAATTTTCTAAAACAGTTTTACTTCCCTACAACAGTTTTGAAATCTATTCTGCAAATTCTCATTAATAAGCAGATACAAATGTAACTATATTATGACAACTGATTTTGGTAAACTCTAACCAGTCTCACTGTGCCTCATTTCCAAAAAACTTAAACAGCCTGGAAAGACTGGTAATATATTAAAAGCGGGAGGGGGGGGGAAGCAACTGGTTGAGATACATAGCAAATAGCACCTAGACTTGTATACCGCTTCACTGTACTTTACAACCCTCTCTGAACGGTTTACAGAGTCAACACATTCCCCCAACAATCTGGGTCCTCATTTTAACGACCTGAGAAGGCTGAAAGGCTGAGTCAACCCTGAGCCGGTTAGAATCAAACTTCTGGAATGAGCAGAGTTGGCCTGCAATACTGCAATTTAACCACTGCACCACCATAGCACTAGCAATCCAGCCCATGGATATATATATACTCTACCTGAACAACTGGGTCATCTCTTTCATAGCCACTTGTATATTCTGTATTTTTAATCCAGTCATTCACATCAATTTCTGGCATGCCTGAAAGCAACAATTCCTTTTTAAAAAAAAGGGAGAAACCAAACTTTGATTATGAATATGACAGGTAAAACTGGTCACATTTTGAATTGTAAAGAAGTTTGTTTTCCTGAAGAATATTTTGAAATACCTTCTATATAATGATACAGAATAGTAGGATTTCTAAATCAACATGGGATCATTCAACAAACCAAGAACTACAGTACCAGCGTGTGCCTGGTTCCATGGCTTTTAGATTAAAACATAAAATTAAGGCAGATAAAATATTCTACCCACTTGTAGCCCAAATTATTCAGTATTCCAAAGTTGCTACATTCTGTACCACTAACTAAAGAAATCACAAGGTGCTCAATCACACAATATAATTTTACTTACCAATTCATATTCATCAAAGAGTTGAACCAAAGAAGGAGGAATGAACATATGGAAGCCTTGCAGAAAAGCATTTATCTGAGGCTGAATGGCTCTCGTCATTCGAAGCTCAGTAACAAGTTGAACATATTCAGCCTGAAAATTGTGAGAGTATTTTAAAAAATTACTATAGTTAATCTAATTAAATCAAATTTTATCTTTGTACTGGTTCCATTTACCTCCTCATTGGGTGCCCTCCTTTGGAACTGCCCTCCCTATTCATACCCTTATATTAAACAATTCTGGTAAAGGTTCAGTGTCTAAGAAAAAAAAATTAGAGAACATTCTTATTATAAATTTTGAAAGCCATTGTGTAAGGGCCTCTAATGGCCCTGAACAATGCAGGGCTATTTGCAATCCACAGTTCTATTGCAGATATGATTCCTTGATTGAAAGAAGCATTTCGTTCATTTTTAGGAATGAATATACTTAGAAAACTATTTTCTAATGTGCTTAAATCTTTAAAATATAAAAGTTATAAGGAGAGATTTTTCTTGGGCACACTTTGTTCACACATCAATTTCACTTTTCAAAGAAAAGTAAATGTCATATTCTTATTTATTTTTTGTAATATATAGCTGTAACACTTTCAACATGCATCTACACACACACATATATATATATCTAATTCACATAAAATATTTATATAAAATCAAGTGAAATTAACACTTCTCACCAGTGTGGCTTCTTGTAGAAAAGGAAGCTTATGCGTCCATTACACAATAATGTTTTTACAATCAGAATGATCACACTATATGATGTGTTTGATGTACAGAGTAAGATGGAGAAATCACAGCTCCTCAAATTTATGCTAAGGACCCAAAAATTTGCCAGGATCTCATTGCTAAAATTTGGCAAAATGATGATTTTACACTGCACAATATCTTTATGAAAATAATCATGTAAGCTTTCAAATATGTAAGTTAAACTCACTTTAACACATATTCAGGTAAAAAGAAAACATTCTCCAAAAGAAAAGAAAACATCACATTTTAATGCTATATCACCATTGCCTGCAATATTTAGAGGCAAAGAATAGCTTTTTTTAAAAGAAAGGAAGAAGGAAGTGCCCCCCATCCAAAAAAGTAGCACAGTATTTCTTGAACAGCAGAAAGGGAAGCAATTCAACCAGACTGAACTATATTACTGTCTCAATAATTTGAAGAATCTCTCAATTGAAAATTGTAACAGTAGACACTTTCTACAATACAAACTACTAAGGAAAAGAAATCCTCAGATAAGTTTACATTAACTTACAAATATAATAAAAAATAGATTAAAAACAAAATAAATTAAATTCTCTTGTGAATCATGTTTACTTTGATGTTAAACCTTTTCTGATGCATGCCTTAAAATCTATATGGATCAAGAGAGGTGGTAAAATGCTTCTCAGGTATTTAATTTCAGGTCCTGACATCTCCAGGGATCTTTTGGGGGGAAGAGATTGTAAGAACCGTAATTCAGCATCTGTGAATGTTATAAAGTGTCTATTCTAGTATTAATTATACTCATATCTTAAACCATAGAGTTGGCTAAGCCCGTTAAGGCCCTGGAGGCTAACCTCCTGCTCAGTGCCGGAATCTAAATTAAAGCATCCCAGACAGATGGCTGTCTAGCAATAAAATAAAGCCAGAATAGCATTTGGCTTTCTTTTTTGCAGCCATATCATATTGTGGAATCATATTCAGCTTGTAATCAAATGCTATTCCAAAATCTCTTCCACAAATACCATTACCAAGCCAAATGTAACACATTAACTGCTAACTGATTTTGCGTTCTGTCAAGCTGAGGAATGGATGCAATGATCCTCTTTTCTCCTCTACTTTCCCAGGGTCTTTTAGATGTCCCATCACTTTTTTTTTTGCATTTTTTGCAATTTCATTCGTTGAGGTGAAGAAAACAAATGTAGCAAATAAAATGGCGGCTGTGCCCTTTTCTTCCTTGTCCTTTAGATATGGTCGGGGTCAAACCCAGTTTCTTTATCTGCCTAATGCCATGAGACTCAAACTGACCCTCAGATGAAAACCCCTGCAATCACATCTAGACCAAAAACAACCCCCCACAACTTCCAGTACATTTGCAAGGGCAGCTCTAAGAAGGGACCTACAACTATCCATTCTCCATGAGTTGATGGCCTCAACATTCCATCACATTTAATAATGGACTTGCTCAGCTCTACTGCGCTCCTTAAACGCCTACTTTGGCTATGAATAGAAAAAACTCCAGTTACATAGACGAGGATCTACCTAGCTTCCCCAAACTGACCAGCAAATCAGATTGTTAGGATTTCCCACCTTGTAGTCCCCAATTTCTATAAAACTCTTTCCTTTCACATTGTTTTGGTCCCTTTTCTTGCAAAGCAGGCACTCAACAATCTTAGCAATAAACGTGTTTTCTGTTCCTTGGTATTGTACTCTTGTATTTATGAATTCTCCACTACAAATTGTTTTTCAACACACTTCTCTAATCTGTCACGAATATTCCGCTTTTTATTTCTGTCATCTAGGATACCTGTCATTTCGCACAATTTTGTGCTATAAGCAAGTGTGGTGAATCTTCCCCACACTTCCTCATTCAAATAATTGAATCTTGTTTAGTACAGGGTCCAGTGTGGAAACTGAGGCACTCCACTTAATTCTTCACAACAATGATAAGGAACAATTGATAAAGCATTTACAAAACATTTTCAAAACAAGTTTAATGATCATTCCATCCAGCCCATACTTCACTGGCGTGTTAGTCAGAATATTGTGAGGTATTTTTTTTTCAAATGCATTGTTGAAACAAAGATATAGATTATAGATTCAATATTTAAAGATATTGACTAAGTAGACTAGGTCATTGCAAGAGTCTCAGAAAGATTTTCTTTGACTTATTAGTAATCAAATCTTACAATCTGTATGGATCATTTCTCCACTGAGCAAAGTTACTTTTGCTGTTCTCAACATGAAGACAAACATTTAATAAATGTTAAGTATATTAAAAGCAAGAGGGAATAAATCTAGAGTGATTCTTTTTCTGTATTTATCCCTACTTTCAATATGCTCTTCTTATCGCACACTCTTCTTATAAACTGTTTATGTGAATGCAGATATATTTATCTAGACCATCTGGATGTTCCTTACTTTCTCCATAAAGGTGTCTGAGCCATAAGGCAATAAGATCATTGTGATCCAAGTCAAGCACCTAGCTTGGTAGTACAATTCACAGTTTGGAGCTGCCAATCCACCTACCTGTTTTTGAACACTGAAGAATATCAAAATGCTTAATTTTACACCATATGTGATTTGTTATTTGTTTATGTCAATCACTTAATCATTTGTTCCCAATATTTATTGGAATTGTTCAGAACAGAAAGTTGTCTTAATAAAATTTTAACAGCTGCTATCAATTCCTCCTAAGCAAAACAACTTCAACTGCCTCCACTCTTAAAAGTCTACCGTTATAATTGTGTAAACAATCAGACCCATACTTAAAGAGTTCAATTAGCTATTTAATTGTTCCAGCTATACACAGGAGTCTTCTCTGACTGACAGTTTGCATCTGGGTGAAATTAGATAAGGTTCAATCAAGGGGGGAATCAGACTTCACCCTCTGGTGCCCACATAGGGATTCTAGACTAACTCCCCATTTGACTCCTCCCTCTGGCTAAGTCAGTTTTTCTCCTATATTATTCTTCTAAATATATAAATAATTATTTTTATAACAGTTTTATCAAATAAATTCATAAATATTTCATCTTTTTTGCAGTGAAGTTTTAGGTATAAATGTCTTTTTCTCTGTTTTTAAGTTAGCATTTTTTATTGTTGTTGAACTGAAAACCTGGTGTGTGTGTGTGTGTGTGTGTGTGTGTGTGTGTGTGTGTTTGGAACAAATCCAGCCTGAGTGTATCACCATTTAAAAAACCATGTATGCTCTTTGTAAGCATTACAAGCATTGCTTATAATCTACATTCAATCAAGAAATAAGGCGTATGACTCTGGATGGATCAAATAATTTCATTCTGCATAATCAAAAGCATGAAAAGTTCTCTGACTCTCATTGTCTAATTGTTTAACCAAATTTTCTTGAAAGATTTCATAATATAGTGCAATAGGTCCGAGAACATTTTTCAGTTTCATTTTTTATTGCTTCTTTCAGTTATGTGTGGATTACGAATACGTACTTTCATTCAATCTGCAAAGCTGTTTTCTGCTGCCAGTGAAAGTTTACCAGTAGCAAGCAGGATTATGCTACATGAAAAAATTCACTATGCTTTTAAATATTCTTTTATTCATGATGAAATCACTTGTTGCATACATAAAATGGTAATACTGCTATTGCTATTGTATAATCAGAATATATGGAGGTTCATAGAATAACCTATGTTTAAAGCCAATGCCAAAAACTTATTATTCAAGTTCTAAATGAAACAGAAAGAACAGGAAGAAATAAAAGAATGCAGAAGATATTCAAAGTGGCCTTTTCAATACATTCACAATATTCAACTGTGCTGTACTAGTAAGGGAAGATAAGAGTCTCTGTTTCTGTAGTCTAAAAGTAAATCTCCATAATTAACTTCTATAATTGTAATCGATCCTTTTTTTTCTGACAGATAGGATATGTAGGCAGCAGCACAAGAATAAATTTATTGCTACAAGTCATATTTAAATTTTATCCAAGGCTAGAAAAAGAATGTGAATTCAGAATTAGGAAATACTGTTGCACCATTTGAGGGTACACATGAATAATGTGCTTTGTGCAATAGCACAATAATGTTGATTTGGGAATGAGATAAAATAAGTGTAATTATTTTTCTCTGTTATAGATATATAAAATATCCAGACCCCGTACAGGTAGTAACCCATAAGCCTGACAAATACTGGAATGGGCATCTTAGAGATGGGCATCTTAGTGATAGTGTATTTAAAATTCTAATTTTAGAAAAAGCATTATGTGCCAATATGTTTTGATTTTCTTCAGAATTAAATTATACTTCCAGGAAAAGGATTCAACATCTTTTCCGCAAAGCTCTTCCATTGAAGAGGTAATAACAGACTACTCTGCATCCATCTTGGAGAACCCTACAACTTTCTGTACTGCTCAAAAATATTCACAAAATATTATTCCAGTTCCATTACATGGAGATGCCACAAAATGGAAGGATTTAACCTGAGCATCAAATCTAATACATTTGAGTTTCAAGATAATTTAGAAAAACTGCATGTATGGGATCATGTAATGACTTTTTACCTTTTCTTTTTCAAGATCTCATCAACTCCATCCAATAACAACTTTCACCTCCTCTTCCTCTTCGCCCATTCACTTGCGCCATCTCCTCCTTACAATCTGATTCTCATTCATTCTCTCTATATGATCAAACTTTCATCCCTTCAGGTCATTCATTTCCTTGGTATTCAGTGAAGATTCACTCAACGATTATATTTTCTTTCCCTCTCCTTGCTCAACACACACAATTTAAGGATGCAATTCAAATGGCTACTTGTGTTTTTCCTGACATTCCCAAGTTGCACTTCCAAGTGAAGCTGACCCAAGTTCCTCTATACTGTTGTTTTTTGCTTCTTTCAGCAAACATTTATCCTTTTCAAAATATCACATTATCTACTCAAAACATTCTACCAACATTAGCCAACATCTTAAAAGTTCAGTTTCCCCATTTAATAAATATTTAGTAAAACTTCATCTACTTGCTCGAGTTTTTTTTTGTTAGTATGATTTGAGATTTTTCAACCAGGGTAAAAATTGCTAGCTTCTCATGAGGCAACAGCTACAGTACTGAAGATGGAGCATCTCTATACAGATGTCCCTATTTTGCAGGAGAAACTGCATTTTATAGCTGTGTATTGCAATGAAAATGTTTGAAAATTATATCTCTCTAACCACATAAATAATTGAGTAATTTTTCTCTCGGAATAAAACTGGCACTAAAGATATTTCAAGGTTTCCTCAATAACTTAATCTAATAAAGAGAGGGAAAGTCAGGAGACATGAGATAAGGAAGAGGTTATTTTTCTTTTCAAATCTGAAATTTAATGAAAACATGCAAGAATAAAAGGCATGTCTACTCATCTTTCAATGTAGAATTCCAGTGGTTCTTTTTTTGCATATTTTACAAATAATTATTAGCATATAGAACAAATGTGAATTCTAGTTGTGGCTGCTGCTTTCTTCTATAATTTCTCACAAACCTTCACATAAACAACCAGATGCACCTTCAGGATGTGCTTATTCTCCAGTATGTCTATTCCAACACATTTCTTCAAACACCTGAATCTATACTTCTGCATCACTTGCAGAATATAGAACTAGCTCCCATAAATCACTCCCGCTAATCAAGATCAACTTACAAAATAAACAAATAATAAATGCTCGTGACATTATGAAAGTGCTAAAAGTGAGGACATAAAAATAAAGAGACACCAAGTGGTCACAAAAAAACATGGCACTTGGTTATTCTAACAAGATGCAGTATTACACAAAAGGCAAAATGGAAAAGAAATATCACTGTGAAAGATCCTTTGCAAATTGTATTTAATCTACACTACATCCAATCTAGACTGTTCAAAAACATCCTAAAATCAAAACTATACATTTTCTATACATCCTTAATAAAATAAAATGAAATGTTTGTTTTATTATATGTTTCACTTATCAAGAGTAAAGCTGGATCCAGATTAGTCATTCTTATATTAATTAGACTCCTGGAAATCTGCTGGAGTTTAAATTAGGTATTATGAACTTATTCCCTATCATTGCATGGATTTAATCTAAGCAAAACTCATTCTAATTTTAACCCACTGGACTCATATTGTATTATATGCATCTTCCTGACAGACATATGAGATTTGGCAACCTGAAATAAATGTACATATGAATTTTTAGTTTTGTATCTGATAAATGTCTATTGGAAATGGAATATGATCAAAACTTTTCAACAATGCCTTGGCCATTGAAACCAATGGAAATCAGATTGTTATGCACTCAATCCTAGGAAACATACAATGGCAAACTACTTCTGAAATCTTGGCAAGAAAACTGTAGGACATGTCCACACAGTCACCAGAAGTCAACAATGACTTGAAGACACAAATTTTAAAAAACTACACTAGTTTCTAAAAGCTTCAAAAAAGGCTAACAATATCGCATGAAAATAAAAATTGTATAAAGCAGTTCCATGTAAACAGACATCTAAGAGTGAATTGCTTCTCAAAGCATAGATAAGAAAAGGGAACGAGTATACTGTTAAAGAAGTGATAAAGAAGGCGGCTACATATGTTTTACTATTTTTATTATACCACTGCTTCTTCAGAACTGATGAAGGAATATGCCTGATGTTTCAGACAGACTCTATATGGTACCTAATAACAACTGATAGCTATGGCTGGTTTAATTTATCAATACATTAGTAAAAGCTGCCTATTAAACCCAATTTTGCAGTTAAGAGGGGGCTACCTTTCAGAATCACCCCAGACAAACATAATCCCAAATGACTCACTTTGTTCTCCTGTGTGACAATTGTGCTTGCACCACCCAGCTTCAAAGGCACTTCTTCCATTGCTCCAAATACATCCGTTTCCACAGAGAAGGTCAGTTCTAACCCCAAGTCACTGATATCATTGTCTAGAATCCACTGCAAGTTCTTTGCATATTCTGGATCAATAGATGCCACATCCTGATAGTTTACAGGAATACCTTGGAGACAATGCAAACAAAATTCAGTTCGTCTAAGACCCCGTTCTATTAAAATGGTTTCATTCGTGATCAACGTCTGCCCTCTACAGACCTTCTGAAATAACGCAGGGTGAAAGAAGAAAGGGAACTGATACGGCTGCTTAAAACACAGATTACCTTCAGGAAAGTGATTTATTACAAGCTCTTCTGTTGCCATGAAATTATTGTTAACTGGTTGACAACTAAAGCTACACTATATATGCTAGTGTTGTGGCTAAGAGCAAGAACACACAGGAAAATGCTTCTTGCAAATCCTTCCTAAAGTATTTACTAAAAATGGAGCTTTTGTAGTTAGCCTGCCACTTTCAGCTTCTAAGCCCATTTGTAATATATCTATGACATTAGCTAACAAGCCCTAACTACTGTAATATCTATATAAATGTTTTTTACAAGAAAAGCACTCATAAAAGCACTACATTAATGATAATTGGTATATCAGATGCTTAGCTACCATTATAGTTATATGGAAACTTAAAGCTTTATATACATATATTATTGCTTTTGTAGTAATGCTGCAGCTCTCATTAAGCACAGTAATAGAGCATGGAAGAAGCTTAAATAACATAATACAATTAACTTTTACAGATCCTTATTATCCACTAGACATCTCAACAAAATCATTAACATCTTAATAGAATCATACCAAGAATATGCTTGTAAAATGATCTTGTGAAGTAAATGTTGACTAGTTGTCTGTGATTAAGAGCTAAACCCAAGATTTGTCCAGCAAATCTAAAATAGTTCAAGTGATCAGGATTCACAGAAGAGTTGCTATTGGGCTGGAAAGTGGTTCCTTTAAAAAAAAAATAGATTCAATTTATGGCTTTTAAAACTTCAGTCATTTTATATTACAAACTTTTGTTTTGTTTTGTTTGAGATTCAGAATAATGTACAAAATGAATGATAAAAAATACAGTTTTCTCTAGAATGAAAAAATACAATAAAGAAAACAAATATATTTCAGATGTACAGTCCTAGTTTCAAATCAATTAATTTTCATCACGGGATTTCTAATCATCCCAGTTTAACTCTGTCGCAATAAAAACAGAGTTAAAAAGCATAGTATACAATTTTGTGGACAAGAATTCTCTCATTATACACCTAGACCAGGGGTGTCAAACTCCCAGCCCACGGGCCGGATGCATTGTGTGCTGGCCCCGCCCAGTTTAGCGATGGAGGAAAAGTCCCATTCAATAAATTTTAATAGTTAGGCAAAAGTTTAGGATAGTAGTCTGACAACTTGATTCTGAAACTAAAGGCCTGAAAGCAGCTGTACAGGTAGTCCTTGACTTACAACAGTTCATTCAACAATCATTTGAAGTTACAACGGCCCTGAAAAAAAGTGACTTAGGACTATTTTTCACACTTAGGACTATTGCAGCATCCATGTGATCGCGTGATCAAAATTCAGATGTTTGGCAACTGACTCATATTTATGAGGTTGTAGTATCCTGGAGTCATGTGATCACCTTTTATAACCTTCTGACAAGCAAAGACAATGAGGAAACGAGATTCGCTTAACTACTCTGTTACCAACTTAACCGTAGTGGTTCACTATTCATTCTATTCATGCAACAGTTAAAAATCATAGAACTGTCAGTGTATATAGTTCATGAACTGGAATAGACATGGCAACAGGTCAGCCAATGGGACTGTTTGAATAGACATAGATCAACTAATGGGGGCTGTCTGGATTAGATATGGCAAAATGTCGGCCAATGGGGACTGTCTGGATTAAACATGATAACAGGTCAGCCAATGGGGGCTGCTTAGAAAGTGAAACACAGTATTTGTTTTGTATGGGACCGTAAGAGACAGTTCAGAGTCTGGGTGTGGCTTTGACTTGCTGAACTGTATATAAGAGTTGGTTTGTCCTCTGTAAATCTAGGCCTCTGGGCCTCTGGATCTCTCTACTCTGCAATGACTTGATTCTGTGAATATTGCTTCTGTATTCCTGAATTTGTATGCTGACTTCTGCTGTGTGGCACTGGATATAAAAAAGTTTCTTATGGTACATGAATCCTGCAGAATTATTTACTTGTGGGCTAGTCGGATATGTTGCAAAAACTCTGACAAACTAGCCACTAGAATGCATTTAAAACTTTTTTTGCATCAGGATTGGATCTTGTAAAAAAGAAAATTTAGAGCAAAAATATATTTCTGGGGAGAGATTAAGTTTACTATTTTAGATGAACTATAAGTATTGTAACCTACAGAGACACCAACATACCATCAGCTGATTGAGTAAAAAGGGCATAATCTGGGTTAACAATCTCATTGGAAAGGATATCAAACCACTCACGTACCACACCTTGACCCTAGAAGCAAAAATATATATAGTATTACATATGCATAATTTGAAATGTACTAAGATGTTCATTATCAGTATAAAATGGATTGTATTTCAGGTGCTTGGTTACCAGCTCATATTTATGACCAGTCATGGACACATGGTTGCAATTTACGTTTTTTAATAATTTCCAGCAAAAAAAATTAAACTATTCAAAAGAATAGATTCACTTAACAATCACATGGATCACTTAATGAATGCAGTAACTCAATTTATGACTGTTGTAAACGTACATAAAATCAAATCCAGTCACCTAGTACCTTGACTTACAACTGCAACTGCCTATGGCCAAAATTCTGGGCTCCATTGTGGTTGTAAGTTGATCTGCAATGGGCCTTTGATAACGAGGGATAGATCTAGAGCTGCCATGGAAGTTATGAACTTCTGATCCCTCTTAAGCAGGAGTGTCAAATCCAATCGCATCGCAGGCCATATCATGACATATTGTGATTTTTTTTAACCCTTGTGGGGCCACGGTAGGTGTGGCCTGTGTAGGCCACATCCGGCCCGTGGGCTGCATGTTTGACATGCTGCTCTTAAGTTATGGGCCAAACCTGATTAACAACTACGTTTTTCTACCCAGCGCTTTGGAATAAGAAACGAGCATTGGCACCAGATATAGCACTTTAGTAGCTCAGAAGTAACACAAAATTCTATTATTAATTTTTGCTTTCAGAAATATTTGTGTTTTGAAATATCTGCTTCAAGCCGAGTTCAATAGCCAAGGAGTATTTTCTCTTTCATTTAACACAAATTTTATAATTTTTGAAACAACTTCTATCCTAAGGAAACTATGCTCCTAAAAACTAAATTTTACAGTTATTATTCAATATATAACTTTACTCACCATGCCTTCTTCACCATGGAAACGTACAGCAATTCCTTGCTTCAACTTTACACAATTTGCTTTAGATACAACTTCACAGCTGCTCCTAAAAATAGAATCTAAATATGAAAAACATTAATTTCTCACTTTTGTTCAATATGTAAGTATTCAATTCAGAGAATATTATACACAAGATGATTATGAACTTCCCTACCTCTATGAACCAGCAGAATATCACTTTCACTGACAGGCCTATGAACCATGTCAGAATCCGGTTGTCCAGAATGCAAGTGTTCATAAAACCATTCACAGCGATCTTTAAATGGCTAAGGAGAATAGGCAAAACAAATATTTGATTTATGAGACAAGGTAGGAACACTAAGACATAGAAGATTATGAATTCCATTCAAAAATTCAGCATAATGTTTGCTTTTTAGGAGAAGAGATTCTAACAGCATATACAAAATGTTTTGAATGACTCCCATCATTTGGAAGGATATATTTCATAATGCCTAATGCTATTTTGTAAGATATAAAAGTCCAAAGCTATCTTGGACACAGGGAATTAGAATGGTTTTGTTGATTCATCTCATTGATAAAACAGCAGGCAACTTTTTCAGAGGAAACTGAAAGAAACTGGGAGAATCAAAGGCTGCAAAGTGAGTTACGCCACATCGTATAAATAGCTGTGCTTGGTTTAGGAAGGAGAATCTTGGGGTTTTTTTCCTCTGTGATATGACAATTTTAGAATCTACGGTACATTTCTAACTTGTTCCATTTTCTACAATCGGAGGGATCCCAAAAGCTGCAAGGGGAGGGGAAGGTGGTTGGAAAGTGGTTAATTCCCAGTTTTAAGAATATAGATTGTCCCTCTCCTGCTTAAAATCTTTGCCTGGGTGACAAATTATCCCTTGTCATTTGGAAGAAATTAAATCTAGCCCAGCTACATTTTCTTCCTTAATATTTCTAATTTTGGCATTTCGACCTTCAACCAGAGGCAGCATATTTTACTTACATCTTCTTACAATTTCAAACTAATAATCAAACTCATCAATCTCCTCTTTTTCTGCATCAGTGTTTAAAGCATAAACCTGGATAATCTTCACAGAAGATTATCCGAGAACTGATATTATTCCATCAGTAACTGAATTTTAGATTCTTGCTAAACCATTTGAAATGTGAAAACATTGCCACTTCTTCTGTTTTTCATGTCCTGAGAAATAAACCTGGATAATAAATAAACCTCTTCACAAAGGATTATCCAAGAACTCTGATATTATTCCATCAGTAACTGAATTTTAGATTCTTGCTAAACCATTCCTAAATATGAAAACACTGCCACTTCTCTGTTTTTCATGCCCTGAGAAATAAACAATGTGCTCTTCTGACTGAAAGCATCCAATTCCAGTCCCATATCAACCCGCTGATAGCTAAGATGTCAGTGAGTAATAGATACATTTCATCTTTCATTGTGTTAAGCTTTCCCATGCTCATGCTTCTTGTATTCTATATTCCCCCTTTGATTTTATCTTTGCAGCTTCATATTTTCTTTACTCAGCTAACAAACATTACAAAGGCTTTCATCTACCTGTGAAATAAATACTACCTCAGTAGCATGTTGAGTGCCATCATGTTGAGAGGCGTATCATACAGCACTATATCATCAATCATTTTATATTTTATACCCATGTGGTTTTCTTGACAAAAATACAGGAGTGGTTTATCACTGCCATCTCAATTCAACTCAGTATGAATTGATGTCTTTGCCATTGTCACCAAAATGATTGTCTGCTTTAAGCATATTTGAATGTATAGCTGCTGCCCGATATTGGTGCTTGCTTCTTTTAGCTGGGCAGCTGGGAATTACCTTTATTCCTTCAGTCACCCTCCTAGGGGTATACAGTCTTGACATGTACTGTACTAATGACATTCTACATTCATCCCTCCCAAGACAACCCCCAGCACAAACTGGCTACACAGCAGGGCTCGGATGAAGAGGGGAATTTTAAATTAGGCTTTGAATATTACCTGTGCTTTTATAATATGCATAAATCTGGACATAAGTTCAGGACACTCAAGAAGGAAATGGAAGTGATCAAATATAATTTCAGGATTTCTGGAAAAATGAGCAAAATGGAAAACACTCACTAATTCAGGAAGAACAGGGATAAACTCAGGAGACATTAGCTGCTTTAAATGAGAGAACAATTACAGCAACTTCAATGTTTAAGTCTAAGAAGGAGCAGGCTTAAAATAGAAAACCTGCTTCAAACTCAAAATTAAACAGCTCGGTTGACAAAAGGTTCTGTTGTAACATTCTAATTTGACTGATTCTATAGAGCAACACTTGGAATCACTCAAGTTTTCCACTTACATAAAACAACAGTAACTCAGAACAAGTGTCAGGGCTCCAGCATCCACCCCCTAGTAAATCATGAGTCTCTAGTCACATCTCTGAGTTTAAAGAATTTATTAGGAGTGAACATGCCAGTGCTACCTGGGTGTAGCCGGCTCTGAGACACATCATTCATTTCACTCTTGACCCTGGTCTTCCCCTATCCCCTGGATGTATATTCTCCAATGGGACACATCCATAGCCAAGAGTCATCAATCATGCTCTCCAGTAATAATCTTAGCTGGCAACTCTAAAAGACCAAAGAAATATTTTTGAGTTGACAACAAGCTTATTTCCCAAACTTTTCTCCCATGAGCTGGGAAATGGGACAGTAATCCTCACTGGTTATTTTGCTACCTAATCTATACTGGATCATCAGATGATTTTTAAGATCCCTCTTGGAGTCATTTTAGAAAAGTTTTAAAAGAATAAAAATGTTTCCAGGCTCTTACTAAGAAGCATTCCAACCAGATACTACAACTACATTCACCAAGCTACATGCATGTGAATTTCTGGCGACATACCGGTTTACAAAGCATTTAAGAACATTGTCATGTCTGCAGACAAATTCTATGAAGCGAGGAGATGTCATTCTGCAACAAAAGTCCAAAGTATCCAGTGTAAAAATAATAATTAATTCCAATTTTCCAAGATATTAAAAAACCTACCCTTGAATCAGCTTCATTAAGATTACCTGCTCTATATTAAACATTTTACTCATAAAAGTTTTTAAAATGATAATTTAAAAAATATGCACAAACTCTTAGCTTAATAAAGTAGATTGGGGGAAGGGGAAGTTACAAAAACACTCAGTTTTAGAAGTGTAAAAATATTCCCAGAGGAAGATTCAAACATCTTCAATGATCTAATAATCTAATTTGAATACTTATACCATGTTATTTTAAAATAGAGCCTAGCACACAATTACATGTGTGTGTGTGTGTGTGTATACATACATACATACATACATACATATAGATACAAACACCCGCGAGAACCTCAGAAAACACATATAGATATGCATATATATAAAATTGTAAATTCCTCTTTGTATTAAAATTTACTTCTGATAATTCTCTTGAATTCTGCTGGGAACATATGCGTTCTGGTCACAGGACAGAAATAGAGATCTCAGCATTCACAGATTGATTATTTAACTACTGTGCAGGTCAGCCTTGAATTACAATGGAAACTGGAACCAGGACTGCAGTTGTTAAGCATTGTAACAGTAAAGTATGGCATAACATGACCACATCATTTAGCAACAGCAATCCAGGCAGTCCTGGTTAACACTGCAACCTCAAGACATGTGGGTCATTAAGTGGGAAGTAGAGAAGAGAAAATCTCAGGTTCTGAATGATCTGGAAGAAGGAAATGAAAAGGTCTGAAACTTACCCCTGAGGCATCTGACAAGAGCAACACATATAAAATGCTTGAATGACAGCACTCAGCCGGTTTGCTGTCACAGAAATAACATCTTGGCAGTCCACGTAAGCTTCCTGGGCACTGCCAACTTCATACATTTTAGATTCCTCTTTTTCTGCAGAAAGTGTACTTGTTTCCGTTGAAGCAACTTCAAAGGTGGGTGTAGGAATGCTATCTTCTTGCTGATCGGGTCCCTTTGGCTTCAGCAGGATAGAAGAGATGTTGGTTTTATCCTTCATTAATTCTGCAGATATTAGGGCTAGCCATTCATCTAATGAATGCCAGAGTAATTCCAAAGGCTATCGAATATAAGATAAGGGGATAAGTTTTAGGTGAATGTACAATAGTTCATTTTATGTACTGTATTTACTGATAGAACACTGAAAATATTACAATTCTAATGTATTTTTTTATTATCTTTTTTAATTAAAGAAGTAGGGAAGCCATTTCTCTGGCATATCTGTCCATAAGGAAAATAAGCATTTCCTGATAACCGATAAGTAATATTAAAATAAAACATTAAAAATAAATAAATGAGAACTGGTATGGTGTAGAGGTTAAGTTGCTGGCTTAGAAACCAGGAAACCATGAGTTCAAGTCCCACCTTAGGCATGAAACCTGGCTGGGTGACTTTGGACCAGTCACTTTCTCTCGGCCAGAGTTCATATCAGGCATGTGACAATTAAATAGGTAAGGAGTAAAAACATAACTTCAGGAAGAAAGTATTAAAACCCATTAGGTAATAAAGCCACAAATAAGTGGAATAATTATTTAATTGCAAAAAGTGTCACAGCATCAGACAAACGAGAAACAGTCAATTTGCTTCTAGGTAAGTAAAAAATGTATGTATATGTATTAGAAGATAATAGTCATGGAAATAACGTGCAAAGGGAAAATAATTAACTAGAAACTATAAATATTAAGTCTTACACCAGGACGTATATGTAAGATATCTACTGCCTCACACACAAGACAGATATATATATATATATATAAATAAAAGTCTAACCTTGTTTCCAAAAGCCCAGGTATTATGCCAGAGAAATTTGGGTAATTAAACTAATCAACTAAAGATATGCAATCTGCATAAACTTATTAACATCTTAAATAGGATGAACTTAGACACATAAATAGAAAACTGTAATGATTACAGGGGAGAGAAAAATCAAGATGGGCCAACTTAAATAGGTATCAACCAAATTTATTTTTTTTCTCATGTGGATTAACATACATATACATAACATTCCTCTTTGTATTATATATTTTTCTACTAATATTTAATAGCATTACTTTTCTGACCTTGAACACTTGACTTCTTGGAGTTTTATTTCCATTGTAGCCCATATCATTTCCATTATTGGGAGTGGATGGGCCAAGACGAAAGACATGGCAAAAAATCCTCACTATCCTCAACAGACTCTTCATTTGTGCTTCATAATTACTTGACAAGCTAAAATAATGTATATGCAATTGTTTTAATTTAACAAAATGTACACAGGGAAATTATACTGCAGCAATTAAATAACTCTAAGCCAGGGATGTCAAACTGGTAGCCCGCAGGCCAAATACGTCATGCACTGGCCACACCACCCCAGCTCCTCAAATGGGGAAAACGACGTGAAATGTAACGTGATAGCAACGTGACACGGCGAGTTTGACATGCATGTTCTAAGCAGTCATATAATAAAGACTGAAGGCCCCATTCTCCAAAGCCACTTACAAGTTTAGCCATAGCTAAACATCAAAATATAGATGAATCATTTCACAAATCTTCTTACTTTCTGACAGAGACTTTAAATAATATTGATAAGCCATCCAATCAATCACTATATTACATTCCAGTAGTTCTCAACCTTTTCTTCATTGCAGATCCTCTTTAAATAACTTTTGTGGCCATGGAACATGGCCACGGCCCCTTAAGACTTAACTCAAGATTTAAATCATAAAATTTCTTCAAATATTCACAGACACCCTGTGACAACACTGCAGTCCTCCAGGGCTCCCTGAATTACAGGTTGAGAACCACTGTCATATTCTATTTGCTCTATGAAGAAAATGCTACTTCTGTAATCTGTCTCTTGTATCTCTTGTATCTTGTGGAACTAATCCAAGCATGTGAATGGCATGTGTTGCTTATCCTTTATAAACATAAATATCACTAAACTGCTTTCACATTCAACCCCTTGGCTTTATTTCCTTTTCTCTGTAAACAAGGCCCTTGTGACTGTTCAGAAAAATCTAGTTGCTTCGCTGTTATCTTTGAATCTATGTAAGTTCAGCCTCAATGGCAATCAGCATATCCCACAGGAAGAGGAGAAGGATGAATAACAATAATTACGTTACCTAAGCAATTTATGGCCATTCGTAGTAGCTACTTCAGCAAGACTTGTTAAGATTTTAAGGTACTGGTTTTCATTCTGCTGAGATAAGTGTTCTAGGACTTGGCGTAACTGGATATGAAAAGAGAAGTCATTAAGATGTATTATCACATTAGTAAACATGTAAGACTTACCATTTCTGCTACTAATAAGAGTTAGTTTATGTATGCATAGCTATACTGATATCAACTCCACTGAGTTTAAAGGTGGTTACTTTCTGCAGATTTATTTATTTGTTTATTTGTATTGCCACCTATTCACCATGGCGACTCAAGATGGCTTATAACTATAAAACCACAATTTAAAACAATAAAAACAATCAATAAAAACATAAAATCAAATAAATTAATATAGTAAAATCACCCCCCACCTCCGCCCCCAATGGCAGCAGATTACATGAGCCATTTAAGGGGCTCCATCCCGCTCTGGGTTCCCCAGGCCCGCTGGCAGAACCAGGTCTTCAACGCAGAATCATAGTGGGGGCCAGTCTAATCTCTGTGGTATTCCAGAGGGAGGAGCCACCATGGAGAAGGCCATTCTTCTGTGTCCCACCAGGTATATCTCCCTCAAGGAGGAACCCGCAACATTCCCTGCCTCCCCACTTCGATGGGTCAGGTAGATATGACTGGCAAGAGATGGTCCCTCAGATAGCCTGGTCCCAAACCATGAATGGGCTTTAAAGGTAACAACCAGCACGTTGAACTGCACCCGGAAGCAAATTGGCAACCAATGTAGCTCCCGCAGGAGAGGTGATACATGTGCACACCGGAGTCTGCACAAAATCATGCAGGCTACTGCATTTTGCACCAACTGGAGTCTCTGGATGCTCTTCAAGGGCAGCCCCATGTAGAGTGTGTTACAATAGTCAAGACGGGAAGTGACTAAGGCATGAGTGACTGTGAGTAGGGATTGTTGGTCCAGGAACAGATGTAACTAGTGCACAACCCGCAGTTGCGTGAAGGCTCTCCTGGCCATGACTGTCATCTACTCTTCGAGCAGGAGTCGTGAGTCCACGAGAACCCCTGGATTATGCACAGGGTCTGTTTGGGGTAGTGCCACCCCATCCAGGACCAAAGATGGCAATTCTCCCTTAGCCAACAAACCCCAAATCCAGAGCCACTTGGTCTTGCCAAGGTTTAGTTTCAACTCGTTGCCCCCCTTCCAACTCCAACAACCTCCAGGCACTGTGAGAGGGAAAACACGGCATCACTTAACTCACCATGGGCTGAGACATTCAGCTGAGTATCATGAGCATATTGGTGATACCTCAGCCCATGGTGACGGATGATCCAGCAGCTTCATATAAATGTTGAACAGGAGTGGAGAGAGCATCCTGCGGAACCCCGTAAAGCAGTGGGCGAAGCCTGGATCTCTCCCCTCCTATCAGCACTGACTGAGAATGGCCGCAGAGGAAGGAAGTGAACCAGGATAGCACAAGGCCTCCATTCCCATCCCCCGAAGCCACTCCAAGAGAATATCATGGTTGATGGTATTGAAAGCCACCGAGAGGTCAAGCAAGGATGGATGCACTACCTCCATCCCGCTCCCACCAGAGATCATCCACGAGTGTGACCAATGCAGTTTCTGTCCCAAAACCATGTCTGAATCCTGACTGGTAGGGGTAGAAATAATCCGTTTCATCCAGAAACCTCTGGAGCTGCTGCACAACCACCTTCTCAACAACTCAAAAAGGGCAGATTGGAGACAGATCGAAAATTGTCCAACTGGGTGGAGTCCAGCGAAGGCCTCTTAAGAAGAGGGCAGACCCCAGCCTCCTTAAAAGTGCTGGGGCACCATCTTCTCCTGTAGGGAAGCATTAATCACCGCCAGAGTCCACCCGCCTGATACCTCCAGGGAAGCTTTCACAAGCCAGGAGGGACATGGGTCTAAAACACAGGTGCTTGCACGCACTCTCTCTAGGATCCTGTCCACTTCCTCGGGAGCAACAGGGTCAAACTGTTCCCAGATAACAAGGCAAGAGCCTGCCTCAGGGGCTTCCACCAGACAAACAACCATGCTGGCATCTAACTGGGAATGGAGCCAAGCGATTTTGTCTTCCAGAAAACCTGCAAATTCCTCAGCGCATCCTTTCAGGTGGACCTCAATCTCCTCCTTCCCTAGGAGGTTATCAGGATAACACTATGAAAATGTATACATATTAGAATAAAATTCACTGAGATGTCTTTCCAGATAAACATATATAGAATCTGACTATAAGCATGATTCATTTAGAATTTCATAGAAGAAAAAATACATTTACTTAAAGGAAGCACCTACACATCAATTTACCATGGAAATTGGAAAACTGAATTTACCATGTTTTCTCTAAGATCTTCATTTTGTGTCATTTGAATAATTGTTTGAAAAAGTCTAGGATGATGTTGTATTAAAACTTCACAGGTCTCTCCATAACCACCCTGAAAGAAAATTATGTTTTCATATAAGCAGACATTTCTTCACCTTCACAAACTGTTTCTTAAATGCTAAAGATAACTGAGATATTTGATGAGATTATACACAGGTGCAAATTTAAAAGGACCCATTGCTAGGGAGGCAAGGCCATTTTTTTCAAAAACACAGAACTCATTGTCATGAAAGTGTTTTAGCTCACATCTCAAAATAAAAAAAAATATTTTTTTTCAATTTTTAAATAAAGATACATTACTCTACACCACAATAACAAATACTAAAAACTATCTTACAATATATAAGAGAGTACCAATATTATGCCAATTCAAGTCAAATCACTGGAAGGAATGACTATGAATTTATGACCGGGCCTGGGGTCCCAAGTATGTAAAAGGGCTTCATTTCCTGGTTATGCTAATAATATATTAGGACTATAATATTTCTCAGCTGCTATATGTACTTAATTTCTCTTTTTGTACTATGTTTTAATTGGCTTTATTAAATGTTATCATTATTTGCTGCCCAGACTTGTTTGAAATTAATGCCATACAAATTGAACAAATGAAGAAATGAATGAATGAAAGAACAAATGATACGCCTAAAATATCTTATGAAATTTCACCCTTTTTAAATATTATTTTAGTTGAATATCTGGCAGTTACTAGCATGTTTTTGGAGGTGATATCCAAACTATGTCTTGTGGGCACCATGTTAGCGGCCTGTATAGCAATTGTTCTTACATCCATCTATCAGCACAATGCTAAATACAATGCTAAACACCTGATGTTATTGTGCTACGTGTTTAGCATTGTATTGTGCTAATGCACAATACAATGCTAAACACCTGTTTAAATGATTGAAGATTACCATGGCAATGAACAGGTACATTTAAATTGTCCATATAAAATTGAAACCTAATTATACCTGTACACAAAGATCAAGTGGGGTGACTCCATTTTTATCTGGCAAGTATTTGGCTCCTCTCATCAGAAGAATCTGTGCAGTGTCTCTTTGACCATGGCTATATAAAATATAGAAACCTGGTAAGAACTGGTTAATAGAGGCTTTGCTGTTACCTATTCTCTTCTACAATCCATAAAACATTTGATAAATAATATGCATCCTTCTAAGGAAGTCTGACTGAGAACTGATTTGGATATCCTTCACACAGAGGTTAGAAGAAAACATCTACTGTACTTGCATTACTGTTAAAATCACAGATGAACTTAATTATATTACAATTATTTCATAACCAATTTCATACAAATAGTTAATGAAGCAAACAGAAAAGCCACTGTGAGGAAAGCATTTTCACTCAATTATTTGCATGGGCCTACTGTGAACATTTGGTCTAATTTGGCACAAGATATTTTCTAAAGTCTAAGAATGCAGTTAGGCCAAGAAAGGTGATGTAGTTGATTAAGAACAGGGATGAGGAGGGCAAAGCTAGCCTTATACCCACTTTGCCACTTGGCTGATTGCAATTTTAACACGGAACATATTTCATGTAATGTTTTAAGCTGTAGAGCAAGTCATACCTGCAAGCAAAGTACAGAGAAGTTGCTCCCGAAACATTGGGCCTGTTAATATCTGCACCGCTATCTAAAAGACACTGAACGGTCTTTGGGAAAGAAAAAAATAGTAATGAAATACATTTATAAATATGATTTAAGCTTCAATCCTATGCCTAGCTTTACTAAACTCAATGGAACTTATTTCCATTGCATGAAGACATCTACAAGATTATGTTTCTATAATACCAAAAACATGTTCTCCCAATTAAAAAAAGGCTTATATTCTGAAATTAAAACTAAAACTTAATTTTCCTATCTTAGCTCTATATTTTAGACTTTCTTATCACATAATTGTCAGAGTCACTGAAAGTGGGTTGGGTGGCATATAAATTTAGTAATAAATAAGAATAAAAATAATCTTCATTAAAATTGAGAGATCAGTTAAGATTACTAAGAATTAAATAATATATTTCCAATAAATTAAGCCTCTTGTAAATAAGTATGTGTATAAATACTGTAAAATATTTTAACTAAAGCTAAGAATATTGTGCACAGATTACATAAGCCTTATTAGTACAGTGTAACAGATTTCAAGGATACACTGTCTCTAAAGATGATAGACAGATTATAGACAGATGAGAGAGAGAGACAGAGGGAGGGGGATCACCACAAATCATCAACAAGCGCAATCAATGCTGTCACTGTTCCAGCCTAAAGCCTGACTGAAACAGCTAACTGTCTAAAACAGGGATGTCCAACCTTAGCAACTTTTAGACTTGTGGACTTCAACTCCCAGAATTCCCCTGGTGGCTATGGAATACTGGATGTTGAAGTCCACAAGTCTAAAAGTTGTCAAGTTGGACACCCCTGATCTAAAACATCTAAGAGTTTTAACTTTATGCTGAACTGAAGAGCCTGTCATTTTCAAAATCAGCAGATATTTTTTAACAATGTTACCTGCTGAGAGTCAATAAATAATCTTGGGATTTCCTAGGATCGGGATCCTTGCATATAAAATGTTTAGTATAAAGCCAGAGAATTCAGGATCAAACTATCTTCCTCAACTTACCGTCTTATGGCCATTTTGACAAGCAACGTGAAGGGCTGTCTGCCCCATTGCATCTTCAACGTCTACGTTGGAAACGTGCTGTACAAGATCATGAAGCAATTCTGTCCGTCCATTAACAGCAAGCCAATGGATCTGGGTCAAAAGATAAGAGAGCATGCATTCAGCAAGGAAATTATAGCTTGCTCCAACACATTTCATTGCCAAATGACAATCTAATGTTCATGGAAACAGAATTCTTCTGTCATGTCCCTGTTGGAATGTGGATCCGAGGACGAAGGCGAACAGCTGACAGGGAGTGGGAGTGTGGCTCCGTTGGCTGTGGAGGAAACTGGGGAAGATCAAAGTCCAGCTGGGCAGAGCAGGGGGGAGAGGTAGAACAAGGGAGAGGGAGTTCAGAGGAAGACCCAGGCCAACCCCTCTTCATCCCAGGGCACTCAGGGAGGAACATGGCTTATAGGGGAGGAAAGGGCCCCGATTCCCTTAATTAGCCACACCTGGGAAAAAAAGTTTAAAAGAGATGCATGATGAGTGCTGGGAAAAAATGTGAGTTTATCTTGTGTTGACTTTGGTTATCTGTGTTCTTGGCATCCTCCCAACTGTGTTGAATTATGGCTGTTCCTTCACGTCTGGAATTCCTTCTCCTGCCCTACCAGACTAATTACCTCATCTTGCCGTGATTGGACTTATAGGTAAAGTTTTTTGTTGACCATGCTTTGGACTTGATTCTCTGCAACCAAAGGCTGATCCTGGACGAGTTTTTCTCCAGCCAGAAAGTAACCAGGACATTGGGGGGCAAAGTTGGAGCTAATAAAGGGACTCTTACTGATTATCTGACTGTGTTGCCTTTGTGACATAACCCGGGACATCACAACTTAAGATCTCTCCATTAACTTAGAATTTTTTGAAAAGTATATAAAAGTACAGCTAGTCCTTAACTTATGACCAGTCACTTAACAAACGTTCAAAGTTACAACAGTCTCAGAGGGGGAAAAAAAGTTACTTACAATCCATCCTCAAAGTTACAACTGCCACTCCACCACCCCAGTCACGTGATCTTTTGAGCACTTGGAAACCAGTGCATATTTACAACTAGTTGCAGTGTCCCATGGTCAGGTGAATGGCAAGAATAAAAGTATAGCACTTACTGCTGTCAGACCTTCATTGTTACAAATGTTGACATCAGCACTATACTCCAATAGCTTGCTCATACACTTTTTCTGGCTGCATAGAAAAATACATTAAATATCAGTCATATGTCCAATATCCTTTTTTGTTTTATTAATTTATGAACTTATATATCCCCTCAATCCAACTGGATGCTAGGAGATTTATAACCTAACAAAATGCAGTAACTATTAGTTTTTAGTATTCAGTAAAGAAGAGGAAACAACAGATGCTTAATGATTACATCAAAGCAAGTAAATAAAGCTTATTGAAAGAATCTCTGAAATAAGAGCTATTCGTGAAAATAAAATTGATCTATGACTTGTCCCAAAGGTGCTTTTTCAGGAGGCAACTGGACTTTGTTTTTTCTTTGAAGACATTTCACTTCTCATCTAAGAAGCTTCTTCAACTCTGACAGGATAGTGGGGAATGGAAGGATATCCTGAAGAAAGCTGAAGAAGCTTCTTGGATAAGAAACGAAATGTCTTCAAAGAAAAAACAAGAAAGTCCAGCTGCCTCCTGAAAAAGCATCTTTGGGACAACCATGACCTGGATGACTAAGAATCTCTACAGACTTTTGACCTATGACTCTACAAAATAATCTTGAAATCAGATTAGAAAAAGGGAAACCGAAGTATTCCGTGGATATTTTGGAAAACTACTGGAGGGAAACCAGGCAACATCAGAACATGGCAGTAGTTTATGAACAATACATTCAAAAAGGAAAGAGATGAAATGCAATTTGCTAACCAGGAACAACCGCTGCACATAAGTGACATCAAGGCAAAAATACAAGAGACCTGTTTGGATAGTAAATATTGGCTTTTCTGAAATAAGGATGGAACAACTGGCCATATAAGAAGTGGATTGCAAAAACATGGTATGATTAAGTTGGGAAGACATCACACCAACATTTATGTAAAAAGTATTTTTAAGAATTACTGGAAACATGAAATCATTGATAGCATCATTGAAAATGGCATAGCAAATTTTTTATGGAATTTTAAAATCCAGACTGACACTGTGAACGTAACATACATCAGATATTACTGTTATTTTCAATCCTTGTTGAAGACAAGGAATTGGAAAAGATTACAAAATATTGAGATTTGCAAATAAACATCACAAAATTTTGGAAGAAGCTAACAGTGGTAAATAATTGTTATTGGAGTGCTAAGTACTGTACCAAAAGGACTTAGATTATCTAAATTTGAAACAATTTTCACTAAATCCAGCTATTCATGATCAAATTGTTGGACACCCCATACATGTTACCGTTACAATTCCTAATAACCGAATGTTCACTTGGCCACAGGTCCAATTATGAAAAAAGTGAACAACATTGGCTGTGACACAGAACTACTAAGGCTGGAATAGCAATGTAGTAATATAAACTATAAACCCGTATAATAGTATAAAACTACTTCTTTAATTCCCTAATGTCTAATAAAAGGCATTCTTAATGTTGGAATTTCCCTCTGTATAATGTAGCATGCAAATATTCCTCCACCTCACACATGTAATGATCTGTGCCTGTGGAACCTGAGTCATATTTTTAAATAGAAAATTAATAAAGTCATTAGGTCTATACTTTGCATTCTGTATTGAGCATTTGCTGCACATGTCCTGGTGTGTACTTTCAAGTACAGAGATTTATTTCTCTCTCTTCTTCTTTTTAAAGATGAGCCAAGCCTAAAACTTAAATCAGACTGGGCAATATACAGCCCATTGAAATTACACAGACAAAATTATGCTCAGTTTGTGTCTGTGCATTTTTTTAAATAAATAAAATTGGAAAAAAGAAAGAGACCTCTGGGAGGCAAATCACCTGCACTGCGGCCCCCACCTCTAAAATGTGTCCAAATCAAATGATAGATACTTAATCATTTTGCTGCCATATTTAGTGACACAAATAAATAATTCTCAAATCTTTAAAATCGACTAGCACGCTAGTAAAAACTAACTATATAAATATATTAAAAATTACTTAATAATACTGTAATCATGTAATACTGTAATCAATTCTCAGTTCAGTTGGACTGAAAATGAAATACTGAGCTAAACATGTTATAAACTTGATTATATTTAAAGATAAAGCATATTATATTTAAAGATAAAGCATAAAGATAAGCATATTCCTAATTTCAAAAAAAGAATATTAGATGTAATTAAAATTAAAGCTAAAAACATCTCTATATTATTTGAACATTTTAATGCAAGTTATGCATTTCCTTGGATTTAAATAGAATATCATTTTTCATGCATACTTTAAATCTCAAAATATAGAACATAATTTGGCAATATTTGCATCTATCACATCTAGTGAATGAACAAAAATATAGATTCTTATAGGTCTCTGCAGCTGAACAATCCTCAAATCTGACTAATATATAGCATCACTGTATTTCAACAAAGATTCTGTTACGCTTCTTTAAAAAGTTCTCTAAAAGGTCAAAGACTTAGCTATTTTTGTTACAGCTACTATTCAAATAATTAACGGTGATTACTACAACTTACCCATTCCGAGCAGCTAAATGAAGTGGAGTACACCCAGAAATATCCTGGTAATTAGGGTTTGCACCTTTTTTTAGCAACAGAATTAGACATTCAACTGATCCACAGCTATGGAAGAAAGTTTAGAAACATCTTAACAAAAAAAATCAGTAGAAAAGGATAACATTCACAAATAAACAACATGATGATATCACATTAAATTTGAAAGTTATGACTTTCATTTCAACATCGTTTCAAAAAAAATTGAGTTGAAAATTAAGATGATCAGCCAGGATTTTTAAAAATGTCTGCTACAATTGTTTACTAAAAATTGTTAAATACTGAAACTGAAGGCAAAGCTGAATATGTTAAATAAGTTATCAAGTACTTAAATTAGGAGCTCTTTTAGTCTGGAATATGGAATATGACACAAAAACTTGTCCTCCTGTAAAAGAACTTTCAGTATTTCAACTTGTTGCTCAAAAACAGAAATTGCTTCCAAGAATGGGCAAATCCTACAGACTTCTCAACATACTATTAATACAATCTATGCCTCAAAACCATCTGAGTTACTTTGATACTTAATGAAATACATGAGATAAATAAAATCTGTAATGCACCTCAATCAAAAGCTCAAGAATATTTTTAAAATTGACATTTTGGGGATATTTCAAACATGTAAATCACAAACTAGAATTTCCATAAAGCCACATTTATGGCTTCATTGAATACTCCTTAAGAAGTTTAAATGATATTTGATATTAATCAAAAAATTAAATTTGCGGTGCATTGGAAAGAATACATTCAAAGAATGTACTTGAAAGGACGAACATCAACTTTCCTTATACTAGAGGTGCAAAGCCTTTTGAGGACTCACTGACCTGTATGATATGGACAGGTGATCATTTAGCATATGTGGGATAATGTATTAATGTTCACTAATAGATTTACAAGGAAATGTTTAAATGTTAAAGATGTGATATTGAATTACTGTATATACTAAAGTTTTGGAATTTCACTGTTTATCAGGAATGGTGGTTGTACACAGCAAGCAGCACACTGAAGAGAAGAAATATATTAACAAATTGGAAAATTAATATTATTCAATTGGTCAAGGAATGGTTGTTGAAATTTTATGATTTATCTGTTTTGGAAAAGACAATATTCTCCACTAATCAAAAAATGCTCTGTGTGTGTGTGTGTGTGTGTTTATGAAAGCCAGTGAGTTGTAGTGTTTAAGACGCCAGACTAGAAACATGGAGATAGTAAGTTGTAGTCCTGCCTTAGATACAAAACAAGCTGAATAATTTTGTGCTGGTCACACTCTCTCAGACCTAGAAAGGAAGCAATAACGAACCACTCTGAAATTTTGCCAATAAAACTGCAGGCAATTGCCGAGAGCCAACTGGAAGACACTCAAAGATACAAAAAAGATTCATATTTTCAGCTTACATTTTTATTTTTTACATTTTCTTTTTCCTTTAAGATTAATGATTGTTTTTTTAAAAAAAATGAAAAACATTTAAAAATGTAATCATTGCACAAATTTAAAAAAAATAATTAAAATAAAAATAGAATTCAGGGAATTGGAGCATATAATGAAAGATTATTAACACATTTCACAACCTTCTGAGGACTGCCTTACTTAGCTGCAATATGAAGCAAGCTCCTCTTCACACGTCCAAATGCATAATTGACATCAAATTTTGAATTTGACAACAACTCTGAAACAGATCTAAGACACATTTTAGTTAGTGAGAGAGCTGTATTTTCAGCTACTTTTAATAGGGACCAGATGGCTGTTGTGTATGACACATCACTGTAAGCCAAAGAAAACAAGAACCTCACCTTACTGCTCAGTTTAAAATTGAATACCCAGCTGAATATTATTTGCATCAGTGGAATATTTAAAAACGGGATGTGCAAATGTTCCTTTAATTGTTCCACAGCAAATTTTAAGACACGTTGATTACCGTGAAATATACACACCTACTTAATTATTCTCAGCCCACCCTGTAATCCAGACAGCCTCAATATTTTCAGAAATTGTGGCACACACCATTAGTTATTAGTATTAAACATATACACTGCTCAAAAAAAAATAAAGGGAACACTTAAACAACACAATGTAACTCCAAGTCAATCACACTTCTGTGAAGTCAAACTGTCCACTTATGTAGCAACACTGATTGACAATCAGTTTCACATGCTGTTGTGCAAATGGAATAGACAACAGGTGGAAAGCATAGGCAGTTAGCAAGACATCCCCAATAAAGGAGTGGTTCTGCAGGTGGTGACCACAGACCACTTCTCAGTTCCTATGTTTTCTGGCTGATGGTTTGGTCATTTTTGAATGCTGGTGGTGCTTTCACTCTAGTGGTAGCATGAGACGGAGTCTACAACCCACACAAGTGGCTCAGGTAGTGCAGCTCACCCAGGATGGCACATCAATGCGAGCTGTGGCAAGGTTTGCTGTGTCTGTCAGCGTAGTGTCCAGAGCATGGAGGCACTACCAGGAGACAGGCGAGGCCGTAGGAGGGCAACAACCCAGCATCAGGACCACTACCTCTGCCTTTGTGCAAGGAGGGACAGGAGGAGCAATGCCAGAGCCCTGCAAAATGACCTCCAGCGAGCCACAAATGTGCATGTGGCTGCTCAACGGTCAGAAGCAGACTCCATGAGGATGGTATGAGGGCCTAACGTCCACAGGTGGGGGTTGTGCTTACAGCCCAACACCATGCAGGACATTTGGCATTTGCCAGAGAACACCAAGATTGGCAAATTCGCCACTGGTACCCTGTGTTCTTCACAGATGAAAGCAGATTCACACTGAGCACATGTGACAGACGTGACAGGATCTGGAGACGCCGTGGAGAACATTCTGCTACCTGCAACATCCTCCAGCATGACCGGTTTGGCAGTGGGTCAGTAATGGTGTGGGGTGGCATTTCTTTAGGGAGCCACACAGCCCTCCATGTGCTCGCCAGAGGTAGCCTGACTGCCATTAGGTACCGAGATGAGATCCTCAGACCCCTTGTGAGACCATATGCTAGTGCGGTTGGCCGGGGTTCCTCCTAATGCAAGACAATGCTAGATCTCATGTGGCTGGAGTGTGTCAGCAGTTCCTGCAAGACGAAGGCATTGATGCAATGGACTGGCTCGCCCGTTCTCCAGACCTGAATCCAATTGAGCACATCTGGGACATCATGTCTCGCTCCATCCACCAATGCCACATTGCACCACAGACTGTCCAGGAGTTGGGGGATGCTTTAGTCCAGGTGTGGGAGGAGATCCCTCAGGAGACCATCCGCCACCTCATCAGGAGCATGCCCAGGCGTTGTAGGGAGGTCATATAGGCACATGGAGGCCACACACACTACTGAGCCTCATTTTGACTTGTTTTAAGGACATTACATCAAAGTTGGATCAGCCTATAGTGTTTTTTTCCACTTTAATTTTGAGTGTAACTCCAAATCCAGACCTCCATGGGTTGCTAAATTTGATTTCCATAGATAATTTTTGTGTGATTTTGTTGTCAGCATATTCAACTATGTAATGAACAAAGTATTTACTAAGAATATTTCATTCATTCAGATCTAGGATGTCTTATTTTTGTGTTCCCTTTATTTTTTTGAGCAGTGTAGTTAGAATAGGTGTTCCAACAAGGTATAACCTGATGAATAGTCACAGCATAAGATCAATGTAAGGAACATACGCAGTATACTTAAGTGACATTGAATCTGAGAAATAATGAGAGGAGATAAAGGATATCATGAAAACCCAAGGAGAAAAAAAAACTCCCCAAATTTCAAGTAAGGTTGAGGTCATTTTCAGATTAAGCTATCATAACAGCCAGAATGAAAAGAAAAAGAAAAAAAGAAAGCACAATGGAATATAGATTTTCAATAGCAGTGAAGAAAGGACAAAACAGACCTCTTAATCAAGAAAAGGAAGAATTTAACAAAAAGAGAGAGACATCTTTTAAGAACATCGGAAGAACCATAAGAACCATAGGTTTTGAATGAATACTCAAGGATAATCACAGAAGAGATTGGGCAAATGCCCGTTTAAAGGAAGACAGAGCACTTTAATTAAAATCCTTTAGAGAAAGATTATAGAATGATGTGTTGATAGATAATATATTCGGGAAGTGATTTAATTGTACAGGAAAAAGAACAGCTAGCAAGAGAAAAGCACAGACATAGTTAAAATGCCCACTGAACTGTTTAAGGACTTCAGAGGCAGCACCTGATATACTAACATTTTATGTTAATAAATACAGAACAATACTGTGGCCAGAAAATTTAAAGACCAGCCAATATATCTGTACTGGAAAAACAAATGCAAGAGAATGTATGGATTATTGAATTCATTTTAAAAAATAAGGTTTTGCTTAAGATATTTAAAAAGACGAATAAAGCCAAACATGGAAAGAAAAATGCCAAATGAACATGTGTGTCATGTTAACAAATGATGAACTAGAAAAATGTGATTGTACTTGGCAAGGCTGAAGAAGTAGAAGGAAAAGAAAATACTGTAGATAAGTTAGATAGATTCAAAAGAGTTATGGGAATAATGTACACTGTTGGAGATAGGCTGATAGAGCAAGCATTTATTCATGCAGTCACTAGAAAATGAACCCAACATAGTTACAAATATTTTTCATTCAGTTTCCTCTCTCTGTTTCACTAATAGTACTTAAAACAGTTCTACAAATTTTCTACTTTATATAGGAAACATCACTATAAAAGTTCTAGTTTAAATGTATTTATGGGAAAGATTACTATACCCAAAACAGTAGTATGTTTTTTATAAAATCTACCCAGTTTAATATGTATGTATACATTGAGAAAATAAAAGCAATGGGGTTCTAGCTTGCTTACCAGCAACTTTATTAGGTTATCACCTTCAAATAACCAGTTGTGAATAATTGCTTCATTTAAAAAAAATGAAATGAGAAAATAGCATTTATTCAACACTGACATTTTCTTCAAATTTGGCTCTAAAGTTCTTGTAACACTTTTCTGGACCGCAAGCGAAAAACATTTAAAAACTATCACTTTTGTCAACTCTATCATGATTAGGATGGAAACATTTCATAATTCTAAAAGTAAAAAATGATATCAAACAAAAAACAGCATTAGACACCAATATTACACCTCCATTGTATTAAAAACAGTTCTTCCTGTGATATGCCTGAACAAATTTTCTTAAAGAGCTGCTTGTGAAGACTCACCTGTGTTGATCAGCCATAACCATTGGCATTAACGTGTAAACAGCAGTTTCACTATCTGTGTATAGAAAATAAATTACAGCCATAATACATGTTGAAGTATAAAATGACCTTACTGCTTTGACAATATTGTAGAAGCAAGGAGGAAGTTTTGTCTGTACAAGTTTCCTTGTTACAGAAAGTAAACATAAATGTGTTAATCAGTATGGTGTGTACAGGATATTTGCACATTCTTCATTACATAGTATTTGTCAAACAAGTGGAGCTTCTTTCCCATTAGGTACCCAGGGAATTCTTTAAATAGCATTAATACATTTGAAGCTACTTCACTCAGCAACTCAACAACATCCTCATTTCTAAATACTGTATTTCTGAAGAAGTAGTAAATAAAATGATAGTATTAACAAAAAAATACAAGCAAATGTGCTTCAACTATTTATCAACACAAATAATCTGAGCACAAACAGTGCAGTAACAATAACATTATTTCCTGGTAAGGAAAAATAAAATGAAAATTACATAGAAAGAGGATGTAAGATTGACTCAGCCTTCCATCCTTCCAAGGTCGGTAAAATGAGCAAGCTGTATATAGGTCTAAGTACTATTGCTATGTAAATTGCAAGTTAAAATGACTAGTGAATACAGAAAAATAATAATAAACTGAACTAGCTAGACCGCATGTAAACCTGTTGATGGCTCTCTGGGCCTGGGAGAAAGGATTTTCAATCATGTCCTCTGCATATTTTAAAAGCAGTCAGCATGCTTGCTGCTGACCTTCAGAAATAATTTAATATTGATTTATCCAAGAGGCATTTGGGAAATGATTCAATCCCCCTACTGTTTATGGTACTGTTGTTTTTATATTTAGTGCCCATTTGCGATTATCTACTGTGTATGTTCATTTTCTATTATGAACACTGAGAATTGCTTGGAATGAAAATACAACAAATACATAAAATTTTGATATGGTGTTATCTGCTATAACTCAGTCTTGTGCCATTAAAGATAACGACCAGCACTTTCAACTGGGCCCAGAAGCCTCCTGCTAACCAATGCAGCAACTATAACATTGGTGAAATTCTACATGGATCAGATTGTCCTACCCATAATCTGGTCACTGTATTTGTACCAGCTGCAATTTCCAACCCTTCTGCAAAGTGCATGACAGTATCCATATGAGAATGATCAGGGCTTAAGTTACCATTGCCAAGGCATCTTGGACCAAGTAAGGGCATAAACAGAACATGTACAAAGTGCATTCTGGCCAGTTTCCACCTGCTGCTTGGGCAGCAGCCAAGAGTCCAAGTCACAAGCCATCTCCTTCAGGAGAAGTTCAACCCTGTCCAAGGTGCCAGGACAAAGGTTATTGAACTGTCTGGTAGGTACCTTACTGCCAAATACTAAGCTTGTCTTGGTTGACCTGAATGTGATCCTGTTTCACTCCTACCAGATCTTCACAGGCTTTAGATACTGGCGCAGGATTTCCATACCATCTCTGGCTTGGTCCAGAGTGACAAAGCCTAACTAGGGGTTATCAACATATTGATGACACTCACTGCAAACTAATGAATGATCACACCCAGCAACCCTTTAAATTTGCAAATTAGATTAAGGAGAAACATGATAGCATATTGTCCTAACATTTAAATGCTTGCAAGAGGGGCACAGCTCTGTAGAAAGAGAATAGAAATGAAGAACAGGACAAAGGAGAAGAGGTTGAAATTTGAAGTAACATTCAGGCATCATATCAAAAATGGCCTGAAAATTAAGTCAGTATAGTAATAGCTACTTAAATGAGCAAATGAATTCCCATGGCTTGAGGTGTAAGGAGATCCAGATAGCTACTAGCTTGAATAATTAGTAGAATAATTAGCAAATTCCCACTGCAAGCAAAGCTTCAGGCTACATAACCATAAGGAAGATCCTTTCCAATTCATTTATTCTTTGACACAAGTTCCGAACTTAACGTCTAATGGAGATTCTCGGTCATCCAGGTCACAGTTGCCCCAAAGATGCTTTTTCAAGAGGCAACTGGACTTCCTGCTTGTTCTTTGAAGACGTTTTGCTTCTTCATCCAAGAAGCTTCTTCAGCTCTGACTGGATGGTGGGGAAGGGATAAAGAAGTTTCTTGGATGAGAAGTAAAAAGTCTTCAAAGAAAAATCAGAAAACCCTCTTGAAAAAGCACCTTTGGGACAAGTTTCCGAACTTCAGCACACTTTGTTCTGACTTTGCCTGGCTGAGAAGGAATTCCTGATGTATTTGATCAGTAAGTGGAAGAAAAGGAAAGGAAAAGGCTTCAGGTCAACCACTTCCCTTCAAAAAAGGCTTTTTGCAACACTTGAGTGTATTAAGGTGTCTCTAGTTTTCGAAGGAAGTACTTTTCCTCCTAGATCTCTCCCCCACCCTTTCCTTTTCACTCCTTCCTCCTTCCTGCGATCCTCGACCTGCAAGCCACAACAGAGCAACCTCGCATCCACTGTCCCCGTAAGGGCGCGCTCTTACCCTCCGGCAGCTCGATAGTGCGGGCACGACGCAGGGACCTGGTGAGACGGTTCAGCTGCTCCATGGCTCTCTCCATCCTCGGAGCAAGGTCTCCTCCAACGTCCTCGCTGCGGCCGCCTTATGCCCGGCCTCTCATGCCGAAATCACGGAGCCCGTCAAGCTCAGCCCATGGCCGGCGGCACCATGAAGGCTAAACACAACCACGCTCGCCAGCCGCCGGTTCCTGGAACTCGAGCGCTTCTCCTCTTCGCAATACGCATGCGCCGAACGCTTACAGCTGGGACGCCATAGAGCTAAGTCAAAATAAACGGGACTTCTCCGGAGAGGCGCATGCTCAGATAAGATCAACGGGGTGAGGAAAGCTTCCGCCCTCAGTTCGTCCCAAGCTCTCTAAAGTCTTGGGCGGGACATGCTACATCATGACGTATATATAGGTTAAGTGATCCAGGCGATGCTACGGAAACCATAATTCACCAAAGGAATCATCATAATTGCAGCGTGTATTAAAGCAGTATTTTTCAAACTTGGCAACTTTATGTGGACTTTGACCTTCAAATTCCTCAGCTAGTTGGCTTTATGCAAGATTCTCCATTAGAGTGATCAGACCCGTAGAGAACAAGTAAATGGCAGCAAAGGGTTAGGAGTTTCCGTATGGTTTCGTTGTTATCTAGTGGTGCTCCAGATTTTTGCAGCCAAATTCATTGTGTGAGAAAGGAGTTTATTGTTTTTTCAGAAATTATAGCAGGACATACTAGGCTTAGAAAATAATACACTGTATTTATTTCATAAATGTTGCTTGAGCTTCAAGCTGCATGTAGGAATGAAGGGATGAGAGACCCTTGGTGTGTTCAAAAACTGGCTTTAGCTAGAATTTGTTGGCAACTAGAGACAAATCCTAAAAACTAATAGTTATTAGAGATAAATTGTAAATAGGGCAGAGGGGAATGTATTTTTAGGCATCTTGGATAGACTTTGACGGGCTGAGTACTTAGCCAATGAGGAAAGGGTGGGAGGCAAATCTGTGAAGGTGATAGGGAATATAAAGAAAGTATATTGATGGCTTAAGGTGTGTCCGCTGTACCTGCATGTACATGATACACTCTTTGCAATATAGTGAAATAAAACATATTTTATAAGTTTTGGTTGGTAATCATTTCAAAACCTAGACAATGAATCCCACAATTGTCTACTTCAGGTTCTTATGATGATGTAAGGCAACTTACAAATAGATTTGTAAATTTGATACACCTAAGCTAAAACTATTTAAATCACATAAAGTCATACCATGATTTAGGCAATACTATACAAGTCACTTCAGGCACTAAAAAACAAACAACTTTTTCAACTGGATTAAAATATGTATGAAAGGCAATACTACAGGCATAATGCCAGTCACATGATCCGAGCTCTTAGCCTTAGGAAAGATCTATTCTGCAGCATCATTAGAACAAGGGAGATGTTTTTTCAATATTTTTTGTGTCAACAATTTCACTTGCAAAAGAAGAGAATGTTGGAGTTATCTTATTTCCAAAATAAACATTGCAGTTTTTCTTTTTGAAATAGTTCATTATAAGGAATAGGCTAACTGCCCTTTTTGCATGACACATCAGTGAAGAAGTGTTATTGTAGAAAATGGCTACTTCTCCTTTCATGTCCTGTAGTTCATGCTACCATATTTACTGTTTTATCCTAAAAATTAAACAACATGGCATTTCACGTTGTCTGAGGCTTTTTTAAAATAATGTACTGATTTTTTAACTATTATATATGCACCCCCTAATTAATTTGCCTTCAGTTATATTTATTGAATGTTTAGAAATAAAACGATAATATTTTTGTAGGTGTAGGTCATTAAATAACCTTTTTTAAAAAAAGCATCAGTGACTGATTTAATTCAACAAGTAATCCTATTGTAGTTTTCTCAAAATGATGAGGAAAATAATGCTTGAATTTGTTTTACAAATAAGAATTCTGCTAGATCAGATCAAAAGCAGTTCTAGTTCCCAAGCGGCCATAGAAGGGTATTAGAAGCTCATCAGGAACAAAATGAGGATACAAAGACAATTTTTCTTCAGGTTTCCCAGCACTTGATATTACTAGTAAAGGACATTGATCAGTTCAAACGTGGTGCCAAACCATGCTTAAGCTCATACAACATGGTAAGGTTGGATTATCACTGATTCTAACATTGTGGGAGAAAGTGCTTAATTATGTATCATCAAATTGGTGTTGATTCTTGACAATAACATACATTTACTTTTTCTATGACTTTTTCTATAACAAAGTCTTTCAACAGTGCTTTCTTGCTGTAATTGCGTCCATCCATTTTGCTGTTGGTTGTCCCTTTTTTCTTGCCTTCCAACTTTCTAACATTAGAGTCTTCTTCAAAGAGCTATGTTCATAAAATCTGTCTGAAGTAAAATACTGTAAGTTAAGAGCCATGACTTGATTGATTGGTTGATTTATTTATTTATTTTTGACTACTCATTGTATTCTCCAACACCAAAGTTCAACTGGCAATTCTCTTTCTATTCTGCTTCTTCAGAGTCCTATTTCACTTCCATAGAGGAAGTCATTGCTTGCACAATCTAATCTTTTATTGGTAGACATATCACAGCATCTCATATTTTCCAAGGTCTTGGTTCCTTTCCTACCAAGTGGCACATTTCTGGCCTCCTAGTTCATTTACTATTGATTCTGCAGTAGTAAAAGTAGAAGCTATCCATCATTTCAGTATCTACACTGTAAATATGTCCCCTTATTGTCTTTTTATATAATCCCCAAATATAACATATTTTTAGCAAAAAGAAGCTGCTCTCTATTTCTGTTAACATTTTGGCACATTTTCATGCTATACAATATCAATATTACTTGCAAGATAATTCTAAAATATTCTCTTTCTTTTTGTTGTTTAAGCCTATCTCATCTAGGAGCCAGAAAATACCCCCTTTTATTTTACAACAAAGCACATAATGAAAGGAACTCTGGTACATGTATTATGCAGGTATAATGACAAATTGGAATGTACGATTGCACACTGAGTGTGTAATAGCAGGTGATTTTTCTAGATACAGTAGAGACTTATTTCCAAGCACTCAAGGGAACAATGAATCCACTTTATAGCAGACTTTAAGGTTAGTCCTAGTAGTTAATAAAAATTAAATATTTCTACTTTCAGCTTGTTGCAATTTAATTTTAAAATTCAATGTTTCAAATGCAATGAATAAGTATCTTTTCTATAAACCTATTTGGAATCCACTCTTTGTTAATTGAAAATGATATTAATACTCAGCTTTCAGAAGAACAATTTACTAATACTCAGATGAGATTTTTCTTTTCTTTTATAAAGCACTTGATTTTTTTTTTAAAAAAAATAGTATGCACACAAAAAACCTCATTTTTTGAGCAGAAGTATTAAAGGGGTATTAAAATGCATTAGAAATATATATCAGTTTGAAATGAAGAACATATTGGTATGGGGTAAATAGCTTGAGAACTACACTGCACAAGCTAAGAAGAAACAAAACATGTTTAAAGGATTAAGAAGATTTTAAAATGTGAGCAGAATACATCAGAGGAACCATATTAAGTGGACTTAACCTACTGAACACATACTAGAACACTTTAAAATTATATTACCAGTAGTAATTTATTTATTTATTTATTTAAAAATAGGAAAATATATTACCTGTAAAATCTAAGAGCCTTAAGAGCTGTAGAGAGAAAGACCAGTCCATTCCCTCTTAATAATATGGCTAGGAAATAAGGGGAGCTCCTAAGTACTATATATAGCAAGTTATTAATATTTTTTTACATTGCCGCTAGTGGCACTAGCATGCTATTCATTCAATTTATATGGGTATCATATAAGGGATGCGGTGGCTCAGCAGCTAAGAAGCTGAGCTTGTCAATTGAAAGGTTGGCAGTTCAGCAGTTCAAATCCTTAGTGCCGTGTAACAGGATGAGCTCCCATTACTTGTTTCAGCTTCTACCAGCCTAGCAGTTTGAAAGCATGTAAAAAATGCAAGTAGAAAAATAGGGACCACCTTTGGTGGAAAGTAACAGCGCTCCATGCGCCTTCAGCATTTAGTCATGCTGGCCACATGACCATGGAGATGACTTTAGACAGTGCTGGCTCTTCAGCTTTGAAATGGAGATGAGCACCGTCCCCTAGAGCCAGAAATGACTAGCATCTATGTGCAAGGGGAACCTTTACCTTTACAATATATTCTTTGTGTTATGTTTCCAGCGATAGTTTTCTAATGCTTAGGAATAGACTACAACATTCTATCTATCATCTATCTATCTATCTATCTGTCTGTCTGTCTGTCTGTCTGTCTATCTACTACTCATCTCGCAGTTCAGGCAACTCTGAGTGGCTTGCATCAAGATAAAACAACATGTAATAACAGTTATAAATATCAAATGGATTAAAATTACAAAAATTAAATTAAAAACAAGGGTTTGGGAAGAGAGATGGGATATTTTTTCTGTTATTGTACCAACCACATCCAGCCAGCAGCTTCTCCTTCAGGATGCCAGGTCAGCCAGCATAACCAGATTTTAAGAACTTTCCTGAAGACTAAAAGGGTGGGAGTGGATCTCACTTCCTGAGCTAAGATGTTTCAAAGCCATGGCAGGGAGCATTCTTCTCCTGCATCCCACCAGCCAAAATTCCTTAACTGATGAAGTTTGCAGTAGGCCCCTTCTACCAGCACAAGTGGGACTAGGCCAATCCCATTGGGGGAAAATGCTTCCACAGATAATCTAGACTGATGCCATAAAAGGACCTTAAACTATAACCAGCACCTTGAATTGCACCCAAAAGCAGATCGGCAGCCAGTGCAGTTCACATAACCGTCGACCCTAGGAGTCTCCAAAACTGCACTATTGCATTCTATACCAATTTTAGCTTCTGAATAGGGTAGCCCCATGTATAGCATATTGCCATAATCCAGGCAAAAGATGACCTGAATAAGTGCAACTTGTTATGATCTAGAAAAGGGTGCAATTGGCACACCACATGTGATGAAGATATGCAAAGCCACAACTGCTACATGCTCTTTGAGCATGGGTTGTGACTGTTGGGTATTGGGTCTATCTAGGGTAGTGCTACCCCATCCTGAACTAAAGATGATAAACAACACGTGTGAGATATTGCTGTCACTCAGATTCAGGGGTGGAATTCTACCAATTTAGTGAACCCCTTGCTTTGAAGATCAGCTGGCAGCGAACCAGTTCACTGCCACGAGCATGCGG